TGCCTGAAACCAGCAGCTAATTCGTTTGAGTTCAGGTCGATGAACTTGGCTCTCAATCCTTGCAATGAAGAGCGCACATCCTTTGTTGTGCTTTGTCGCCACGCGGGAGCGTGTGCCTTGATGGCTTTGTTCCTGCTTTCTAAAAGGTTGGCATTGCACTCCCAGTTCCGCTGCGCAAAAGAGATTATCTTTGTGAGCTTGCTTTGAACTTTCATGCATGAATCAGTTGAGACATGTTCAACCCTAGCATCAAAGAATGACAGTGCCTTATGTGATCCGTCCTTGAGGTCAACCATCCTCTCCATCTCAAGGCACGTTCCGGTTCGATGCTTCGCACGTACCGGGGGACCGGATACCTTCGTAGGTCCTTAATTAGTGCACTGTACATAACTTCACTCCTCCCATTTTCGTTCAGCGGGGGGTGTTGTTTCACGCTAGGATGTCTAATACATGTCTCACTTACCTACCATTTTGGCTCAAGGAAAACCAGGTGCGACTTGTTGGTAGTTCTCGGTCGTTTACCTGTAACTACATAAATAGTCGTTAACTTGTAGAGGATCGATTTCTTTTCTTCTGGGCTTAGGGGGGGAGTGATCCTCCGGCTTTGCGACCAGAGTGCTTGTGCTGGCAAGCTGGGCCCATGTGGTTTGTGGTTTGTGGTTTCGATGTTCAGAACGGTAGGAGGTCTCATTCTTCTGAATCTGACGAGATCACGCCCAGGTAATGCACCAACTGCGCAGCAACAATCGGCACGTCTACTTGGAGTTCTTTTCGGACTACCCGCGCCGAGACAAATTCTTGTATGCGAGATCCAGCTACAACAACCTGCCAGGCTCAGTGCTACTGACGGATGATTCCAAGAAGAACCCCAAGGACGAGGAAAAGACCGAGGAGGGAAGGAAGAAAGGTGAACAAGCCTTATGCCGAATCGACTTCGACTTGAAGAATGTGAAGCTGAAGATTCCAAAGGTCCCCTTTACCATCCATGGACGGCTCATGGCCAAAGATGACTTCTTTCCCACGGTGGTAGCCAGCTTTCAGCTGCAAGTCACTAAGGAGGAGGTCTTTGATCGACGGAATGATCAGCCTGTGACCAAGAATCCGGACTTCATCGAAGTGCCATTGACCCTTGGGACGGATGAAGTCCGGATGAAAAGGGATGGAAAAAACGATCGGAACAGCACCCGACTTGCCGGGGTCTCCCCAAGTTGAAGGCTTTGTTATGATGAACAACGCGTTGCTTCGATGAACACCTCCAGCTTCCAGTGTGAAATTCTTGAGACTTCCAGCTTCCTTTACACCTCCAGCTGCACTTGAAAAGCTCCTAAAGGAACCTCCGGCTTCATTTTGTCACGAATCACCCACCATTCCGTTTAATTCCTTCCTTCCAAGTCCTCTCAATTTGGAAGAAAAACACCACCCAAAAATTCATCCTAAACCTTCCCAACCCCCCCCCCTAGTCCCACTGATGGAGTGCCTCCTTGGCTCGCTCCTTCAGCTCCGGCTTCAATCAACGCCGCGCGCCCTCTCCGAGGGAGCGAGCCTGGCGGGGTGAGGGGCCCTCGGAGATCGCCGCCTTGAGCGTTCGCTTCCTGGGCCCCGTGGCAGAAAGGCAAGCAGGGCAAAGCTGGCCGAGAGGTTGGCCTGGTCCCATTATATATATATATTATTTTATACACATGCCTAGAACCCATTTGACCTCTGTTTTGATAGGAAAAGACCATATTTTAGGTGGTTGGTGGTCCAAAATAGAGGTCATTCAGGTTCTAGGTAACTGTATAGATTAATGCACATATGCAACATATAATCCATTATTTATAATAAACACACACATGTCTTACCGGGATGCTGGTGAGTCAAGAGGAGCGAAAGAAGCTTTTTCTGGGGGGGGGACCTTGCAGGGGGCCTGGGGTGGTTGTAGGATGGTGGAGGGACAGAAAAGTGTGGGGTGACAGCTGGTGGTCGTGTGGGGCCGGGCTTGGGGTGTGGGAACGTGGGTGAGTGAAAACTCACACCCTCCAAGCACCTGGCTGCTGGAAATGGCATGATCTTTGGGATCGGTCGAGGTGGATCTTTTCGTCAATGGCTGAGCGACCAGACTTCAGCCCCGATCTGCATCATAGAAGCGAGTTGATTTCGGGGCTCGCTGCGCCCCCACCCCTTGTGCATGCCGCATGTTCGACACATGGTCGAGGACGAAACCGTTTGAAGTGAGGTTATGTGAAGGATGATATGGTGAGGAAGAAGCAGTCAGGCCTGGTTTGGCACATTGGTTGACTCACGAAGCTACTACCTTGAGGGTGCTTTTGATGACTCGTGTTTAGCATGTCTGCATCTCGTTTTGGCATTACTTCCATGACGACCACCTGGAGCTTGCCATTCTTTTGTCCAGCCTGCCAGGTCAACAGCGAAACGCTTCCTGCCGCAGTCAGGCATCGAAACGACCATGAGCTGTCACTTCCTGTGGATGTGGGACGAAAATCGGGACATCTGGACGACCATGCCGAGATCGTCCTTTTCGTCCTTTTAGCTAGTCTTTTTGTTTGGGGTTTCCTAAGGAATCTTGAGGTGTTGACATTGTGCGCTGTCGGGACCTTTGGGACTCTTGGTGAGGACAGTGGAAGTTCGGACAGCGAAGGGGCAGAAGAAGGTGAAGAGGAGGACGAATCTGACGACGAGGAGGAGGAAGAGAATGATGACGAAGATGAGGAAGGCACGTCGTCCAAACATCACCCAACCAAACCAAACCCTCAAATGGTCTTGCACCCCACGGGCCCCACGTAGATCCAGATGGAAGGAGCTGGGTGACTTCCAATGCAGCTGAGAAACCCGACAAACGAGCCACGTCTCCACCCCTCGAGCTTCGAGACCAGGTAATGCCAATGCTTTGGGCAGCAGTGGGACCATGAGATCTTCTCAAACTTCCTCCGGCCAATCGTGAGTTGGGTTGGAAGCAGGCTGCATCCGAGAAATCCCGCACACCCAAAGAACCACCTTCAAACAGCCAAATCGACCAACTCAGCAGCTCAAAATGACGAGCTCCAAAAGCTCGGACCCTTCATTTTTTGGTTTCGGCCCGCGAAGCGCGTGGCTGAAACGGGTCCTGTTTCACCTGGCCAGGTGCGCAGTCATGTGGAAAAGCCAGCGCTTCAGGCCAAAAAGCGGGCCTTCATCTGTTGAGTTGCGAATGGGTGAGTTGGATGGGCTCAGCACCACGCAAACCCAAACCTTGATATGGGATGTTTCAATCCGAATTGCCTCCAACCAAAAACCACCCCGCGCCGCACCCTCGCCACACCCGCGCCGCACTGGGGACTGCATGTGGCTCACAGTGGTCGGCAGCTCAATGTCAGCTGCCGACGAGCGGGAGGGGTCACTGGAGGCGGCCGCAGCAGTGCCCTCGGCGGCGGGTCATGCCGACAAAGCCGAAAAGGCGGTGAAAGGCGGGGCTGTGGAGGGGCTGGGCTGCTGGCTGGTCCAGTGCAAAGGGCGGGCAGTTTTGAAGGTTTGTTTTAGCTAAGCTTTTGAGACTGAGCACCGCCGCCTCTATCGCGGCCATATTGACCATTCAGCCAACCCCCAGCAGTTGAATGCAGTTGAAGGCTCTCAGTGTGCCCCTGATCTCAGGAGCGGGGAGAGCCACTTTGAACGCCACTCCCTTCGGCCCCAAAAGCGTTAGGCCGAGAAGCTGCCAAGCGCCGCGCACCGAAGACGAGCGCCCAGCGGCCAGGGTGCCCCGAAACGGCAGATGACCAGCTCCGGCTGTGCCCGGTGCCCGGCGCCCGGCCGTCACCGAGGCCAAAGCTGCCGATCAAGGCCTTCGCACTGAGGTGGGGTGATGTGTATCTTTCTTGGAAGTGACCTTGGGAAGGTGGAAGGGGTCTTCCAGGCATGCATGAAATTTGAACTATATTGAATATGTGTATGTGTGTATGTATACATATATATACACATATATACATATAAAAACGCTAATGCCTGAAAACAATACAGGCCGCCCTTTGTAGTGTGGGAGTCACTTGAAATCGCTGTTTGCCCGTGGGCTTTAATGTGTTGATGGACATCACACTCCATGTTCCATCATTTCTTTACCAGTTCCATCTGGGTCGTGCAGTCTAGGTCAAGGGTGGCTGGCCATACTCTTAACGAAAACCTCGCAAGAAGGACGGACTTCAGCCCCCAAGCCCACGTGGCTGAAAGAGGCCGCGGGCGGGCTTCGGTGGTCCAGTGGCTGTGGCCACCCGGAAGCTCATCGCTGGGATCGATGCCAATGAAGCTCGGAGGGAGCTCAGCCAGGGATCAACAACTCGTCAAGTAGGTCACAATGTATTTGTTGTCATTTTTATTGACGGTGCTTCAGATGATGGGGCTTGCAAGTTGTTCATTGTCTTTTCCCAGACGCCGCGCGCATTTTTTGTGGCAGAGATGACACACCTCATGGTTTCTGGCTATTTCCGAAATCCACGTCGCTTCGCCACTTCACGTCATCCAAGGCCGTTGGCCCAGTGCTCTCGCTTCGAACCTCCCTGCCGATGCCTCAGGATCTCATCCCCCACCGTCTGCCGCGCTGACCAGCCGCGTCGCGCGCGACTTATGGCGAAGTTGTGAGGCCTGAGTGCAAGGGGCCAGACCTACATGCTCTGCCTCTCGGCGGCATAGCCGGAGAGGTCTGCGGAAAAAGACCTCTCCACACCAGTCGCCAGAAGTCCCTCCCTTCGTTCAGAAAAGGACTTGTTTCGTGCCACCCTCCCACCCTCCCGTGCCATTGGAGGCTCAGGGCGCTCGAGCATTATGAGCACGTGCACTTCTTGAGCTTTGGCTTCTCGATGCAGCGCGAGTGCCGAAGAAAAACTGCCCGACCGTTGGAGGATGGTTTTCTTGGTTTGTTGTTCCTTTGTGCCCCGGCCCGCCAGGTGAAAGCATGACCAAATCTCTTTTCGCCCCTAGACACTGGCCGTCATTCATGGAACATGGTGGAACGAGTTGAACATCGAAGGCAGATGGATGTAGACAGATGAAACCATGCCATACAAGAGATTATTTCCTTAGGTGGCAGTATAGTACTGTCCCACCTAAGTATTAGTAAGGTATTATGTAGGCCTTGGTTCTGGGTGGTTCTTCCGCTGACCGTCACCGTCGTACGGTCCGCGCTCACCTGCCCCTCAGCTGCCCTCAGCAGCCCAGGTTGCAACAAAGCCTTGGCAAGCTCCCAGTCGTGCGAAGCCCCAGATTTGGGATGGCGGCATCAAATGAGCAAACTCCCATCAACTGGGGGCTGCAATAGAGTCTAGAGGAATCCAGGAATCCTTTTGCAGAATTTTGACTTTAGAAGAAAAGAGTTGGTGAAGAAGCAGCAAAGCAACCAGGCTTGTTTGGGTGCGACCAAATGAGTGAGGCTTGGCATGATGCTCGTGAGCGTTCTCCAGCGCCACTTGTTTTGGTTGTTCGTGAGGGCTTTGGGGACGGCTGGTGCTTTCCGATGGGTGGAAATTGCTGCGGATGCACAGGTTTAGTCTCGCATGGTTTGCTCGGAAGACTTTTGAGTTTTGGTTTGCTCGTTGGCAAGTGGTAGCGCAACGCATTTGACGTTGTTTTGCTCACACGCCCAAGTCTGGGGATAAGCGTGGGGATGCTGATGGGTGAGGGTGGCCCGTTCTCAAAGAGGTTTTCCAACTTTCGGATGTTTTTCAGTGCAGCATGGAGGAAAAGCACCCCAAGGGGAGCGAGCGATGCAGGCGGGTTCATTTGGGCTTGCGACTTTGGGGAGCTGTACTTTCATCATGATGTTTTAGTGCGCGCCTCAGTTTCGCTCGACTAAAAAAATTATGCGATCTCTTTGAAATGCCTTGAGTTGCAGCAAGTTTCGCCTGGTAGGAGACGTGTTGGCCCGGATTCAGTTGTTCCGTGTTCGGGTTTTGTGCCCTTGCATTGACAACATCCTTTCTGAATTGGTGATGGACGTGCTGTGATTGGGGGGTTGCTTTGATGATTCATTGTGCAATTTTGGTTGGAGATTGGTGGGTAGTTGAAATACTATATTCCTTTCAAGGCCACGCGTGCCTGCACGCGGCATATATTGTGTGTATATATATATATATATAATTTTGTTGTTATACATATGACCGAAAATGCATTTGTGTACATATGTTACATATGCATGTGAATACATACGCACCTACACTCAATTCACTCAATATACTCAACCATAGATTGCATCAATACCTTTCAAAAGCGTAGTTCTAGGTCTGCATCCGGTATGGTTCAATCACAATTGCTTCGATCCTTGCTTGAGGATTGCATTCTCGATGGCTTGGAGGGCCCGCCTCCGAAGAAGCTCCCCACCAGATGCTTGAATGAATGTTGTACAGAGCAGCTCAGGGCAGTCTTGAGACCAAAGCGGAGGCCCAGTCCATGAACACAGGTTCGATCTCTTGACCTATTATTTCTGTTTTCTTCTTCTCCAACTGACTGAAGGATAGAGGAAAAAGATTTCGGGGTTCATATGGGGCGTCGACCTCAGGGGTAACATGGAGATGGGAAACCCAAAGAAGTGGATCACAACAATCAGGTCCCAATGCAAGAACTTTACGTTGAATCAATTCTGTGGCCATTGGTGGGTGGTAAAAAGTTTTTCTTTGGTTGTTGTTGCACATTTTTTCAACAACCCACTCACCCACTCACCCACGGCCTGGGCAGCTGGGATAGCCGGGGTTCGTGGTCCGGGCTTTCGATCCCACTGCCTCCGATCGGCACCAAGGCAACTTGGCTTTCAGCTTCGCCGACCAGGCGGACCGCAGAGAGGACCAACCTCCAGAGAGTGCTGAGTGCTGAGTGCTTCACACTGGCCGTGGCCACTTGGGGGGGGCGAGCAAGAGGCAAAACACATATCCAAAAGCTTGATTCACTGGACACGTTACAATTGAAACGCATGACGGACAGGGCATGAAGCACCGTGCCAGGGGTGTGGCGTCAGCTCGGAACAGATTACCAGGCCTCTTGCCTGAAAGGTCATTGGTTGGCTTATGTTGGCTTACTCTAGTGCTGGGTCAGGTATGTCACAGCCATGGATGTGCTTGTGGCTTGCCAGACAAGTTCAGAACTCGCCCGGATGGGCCCGCTGGAGGCTGAAGACCCTCACCCGGAAGCGGCGTTTGCTGGACAAAGCTGTCTCCTGGGGCAAGGTGGACAGGCCATGCCACCCCGGAGCTGTGAACAGTGCTTTGTTGTGTGTGCGAGAGCGAGAGGCAAGATTCTTGAACATGTGACATTTGGACCAAAACCCTCTTGCCAAACTTGAAACCCGTTTCTGCCAACGATATAATGATTTCGGCCTGAGACGGGAACCCTCCCGCTGCCACAGGACGCATGCGCCGTGGCTGGAGATTCCCCAAGTCTTTGGTCTGGTGTCTTGGCTGCACATCGCAGCCAACTGCGCCCGTTGGAACGCGGGGGGATGGGAGTTCACGTCGGACCCCTTGGCTTCGGGCCTCGTTGGGACCGTCTGCAGGTGATGCGCTCGAAGAACTTGACGAAATGCTTCTGGCGCCCGGGGGCTCGGACCGGAGGGGAGGGGAGTTTCACGGGCCGAAGGTGCCTCACGGGCCGATGGTTGGCCTGGGCGTTTCTTTTTGGTTTCATCCACTTGATGGGCCAAACTGGTGACTGAGGCCCTTACCAAGAAGCTGAATTCTGGAGAAGGGCAGGATTTCACTGCACTGGCCTACGGATGCACCTTCAGCCTGCGCGAGGCGCGGTCTCATTTGTCTGTTGGTGCTCTCACATATCATCCAATTGTGGAAGGGAGGAGAACTGAGTTTCCAGAGGCTTGGATGACCATTTTCCTCTATAAACAAGTTTGCCACGATTATTTAAAGGAGTGTAGGTGTCTTTTTTTGGAGGCCTTGAGCTGTGTGGTGCTAGTTTCCTCGTTGCGCCACGTGTCACAGGTAAACGAGTGAATCCTTCAATTCATCGGTTGGTGACAGACGCTTCGCAAGCAAGCCAGCCATCCGTCGTAGGCACGTTGGCGAGATGGTGAGGAATACAAAGAGAAGAGGTTCATGTGGAAAAGGTCGTAGGCAGGAGATCAGGAGATTTCATAGGTCGGTTCGTGTTCGATAGGCGCCAGAAAAGCGAGATCTCATACAGTAACTTAAGCAGAATCCGCCAAAGACGAAACATAAGCAGCCAATGTAGTTCTAGTCCGCTAATGTGATAGCCCTCGTCGGCGAATGCTTGGAGCAGCCACTGGGTGTGGATGGAAAGCCGTGATCTGTTCTGAGGCAATGCATCGGGGAAATCTAGAACCATCAGCTCTGCAGAAAGCCTTTCCTCCTGGGGAGGAGGGCCAGCGCCGAAGTCATGCGCTCTTGAAGGAAGCTTGGCGGAACATTTGATGACGCAAGACGCAAGCGATGTCACGCTTGGCTGCTCACCAAAATTCCAACAAGGCCAACTGTCAAGTCCAACGCTCCACCAACAGTCTCGCGCCGTAGGCTTGCCACTGTAAGGGAAGCCGCTTTGTTTTGGCCATTCTGGCTAATGTCTCCTCAGATGCATGTCAGAATCCTACTGGTCCATTGTCGCTTCATGATCCTCGAAAAAAACTTCATGTATGCATGTTGCCCCTCATTGTATATACAATTTGTTGATCTCTGTGGATTCTTTGTTTGTCAGAGAGGCGTCTGGCAGAGTCTAGCTAGCAGGTGGTGCACTTGATAACCATCGCGACGTGAAAGGATTTATGAAATCAAAGCAGTAGGGAGTTCATTCCAGAAAGCTTTTGTCGACCACGGGCAGCTAAGGCATGTCTGAGCAATCTGGCTGCAAGTAGCCAAGCCAACTTAGAGCAACTAAGAGTATTGCTGCCACCGACTTGAGTAGTTGATTGCTTGACAGGAGAAATCCCATCCCTCAGCACCCAGTTCACCCAGTAAACCGCTGCAACTACTATGAGTTCCCTTCCCCCCATGCATATGCATGCCCGTTTTTTTGTTATATAAATCCCTTCCTCTAAGGCGAGGCACCCAGAACTCCTTGTTTAGTCTTGCCACCTGTTTGTAGAGGATTTCATGGTCTTCCTTACGGGGCCATGCCATCCACGTAACCATGTTAGTTCCAGGGAGTGCAGTTGTTTCGGTTTTGAAAGTCCTCTTTCGCACCAGGGGAAGAAGGGAGTAGCGTTGGGCCGGGCGAAAAGCACGATGAATGTGAAATGATCAGGTTTTGTTTCTTTTTTCCTGGTGTAGATTCATCCTGGTGGTTTCTCATGGTTTCTCCCAAGAAGCACGCCCTCCAGGAGGTGCAAGTCCAACATCTCATGGACACGGCTGAATGTAGAAGGAATCTGAATTCATAAGCCATCGATTCAACAGATCACTGTCCGTCTTCGTAGGTTCTTGCTCGACCGATCAGCGGTGCCGACCACCGACCGCCGACCACCGCCCGAGGCCGGGATCTGCCACCTGCACCGCTGCCCCGCTGGGTCGTCCCCGGGTGTGTGGAGGCGAAACACGGCGGTGGAGCGGCGGTGGCGTCATGGGAGGTCGGAGCAAAGAGGTTGGAAAAAGGATTGGTTGAGCCAAGATCATTGGGGTTTTCCATGAGCCCAGCTTTTTGGAAAGAAGGAGCCCAGTTGTTTTTTTTTGGGTTTGTCTTTGCCCAACATGGGCCGTGTCAGACTGGCGCTCGCGTCGCGCAGACCTGCCCAACAACATCCTTCTTTCCCCCTCCTGGTGACTGTGGACACATCGAACTTGTGGAACGTTTGGTAGCCGCAAAAGCTGTGGCAGGCGAAGAGGCCCGAAGAAGCTTTGCAACCGGTGCCTTGAGCGAGGTTAGCTGAGAGTCAGCAGGTCAGAATGACCCACCCAAACTTGAATCAAACAAAGAAGACGGCTTGGCGAGTGGTCGAGAAGGACTTTTTTCCCATGTGACTTGGGGTAAGCACCAAGATCTAGATTTCTGCAGCTACCGATTTTGCCACGAGCCCTAGAGGATCTGATCGAACGTGTCCCGGGAGCGCCCCAAACTTGAAGCTCGACCCGAGAGCCAAAGCCTTCATGCGCACCGTGGTGTTTTTGGACATGTTGGACCGGCGTCCTCCCGTGGACCGGCTTCACTAAGGTCTTGCGCATCTTGGCTGAATGGCTGACTCCATGCAATGTCCCAGGCCGAAAGTAAGTCCTCATGCCGTGGTGCTTCACGCCAATGGTGTTGTGCTTCCCCAGACCCTTGGCCACCGAAATCCGGGTTCATCGCACTGGAAATCTGGAAATCGTACTACTTAAGATGCTTCCCCAGACTAGACCACTTCTGGGTTCCGGGGGCTTTTGGATTCCTCCATCCCCCCAAACTCACCACCCGCAATGGCCCTCCAAGCCCCACGGCGTAGCAGCGGAGATGCGCCGAGGGCATGGGCTGCTGAAGCGTCGTCGGGTGGAGGTGGTGATCATCGACTGAGCGGCCTGACAAGGGCCACGATGCCGTCCGGGACCGCGGAGAGAAAAACCCGCGGCAAAAGGCCTGCAAAAGGCCAGAGGAGTGGAGGCGACTTGTTTGGGGGAAGATGAAGGCCTTAGACATGCAATATGAAGGGGAGATATGAAGGCTAACTTGAGAGTTGTGACTAGATCTTGAGATATCTCCTATATCCTCTGGGGATAGGAAGGGCTCTTGTGATATTCAGGGGTCTATATGTGAATATGTTGTTGAGATAGGTGTTGGCACATGTAACATGTCCACTTGTTGAGTTGGTTGATGAATGTGAGGGGATCTTCGGTGCAGTGGGCGCGAGACCGCTGTGAGACGACGGTCGACCGGCGGTGAGACGATGTTGTGCTCAAGCTCAAACAAAGCCATGTTAGTCAAATTAGTTAGATCAACTTGGGAATCTGTGGTGTTGGTTTGATAAGCAATGCCGTCACATATTGTCAAATGGTTTGCATATCCTGAGGTTGTTTCTGCTGTTTCGTCCCTCCTGGAAAAGCTTGGAGCCATCGGGCAGGTTTGTTGATACCTCTTTGTTTGCCATGGCAGATTTTTCCGTTCTGATCGAAAATATCACTTGACATATGTAATCCTCTTCTTTGTGACTTGGTGTGAACTCCACAGAGGTGGTTATATACTTAAGGGAAATATAAAGTTCCTGGCTTAGCCACGCGACATATCCAATCTTAGCGCCCTAATCTGCATCACCACGGCACCATTGGCATTCCTGATTAGTCAACGAACCGAATGGTTCGTACCCCAACCCCCCTGCTCGAACTTGGAAAGCTGACTGCTTGTAATGGCAGTTTCCACGCACAGTTTCCACGCACGGTTGCGGCACCCACCCTCAAAGGCCAACCGGTGAAAACGGCATGAGCAAACCGGTCAACGATACTGCATTGGCGTGCTGAGACGTCATCTAGTTGCTGAGACGTGCTGAGATCAACGACGCAGGCAAAAAACTTGAACTTGACTTAGGGTTCTGAAGGCTCAAAGGGGTTCACGCAAAACACATCCGAAATTCTGGGATGCGCATACCTCACTTAACCTGGCGTGCTTTCACCCTTCGAACCCGTGCGTTTCTGTTCATCTCGGAGATGCTCCGGCAGTCGAAAGGGACGAGAGTTTGACCTGGTCGGTCCCGCATGGCAAAAGCGCTTTCGGACCTCACGGTTCAAGCTCCAAAGATGCCGATAGTGAGCATGTTCATGTTGGCCCTTCTCATGGGTTCTCATTGGTGAACGTGTCAGGGACACACGCATACACATATCAGAAAGGAAGAAACATGTGAAGGAACACTATGGCATCGTAGTGGAGGATCCGCATATTGTCAGGGTTTTTCACATATTGTCACCACCTTGAAACATTGTTGTCAGATTCTGTCACGAGACCTTTCTTACATCCACCGATGATAGTATCTAGGGATGTGCCCCCCGGCAGTGTTCAACACAACCACAGCGTGTTTCCATTTGCACATGACCACTCAGATACATACGCATACAGACCTCTCAGAGCAAACTAGGCTTAAGGCTTTCGCTTTTGCGTCGGTCTCGTTCTCGCGTCGGTCTCGCCCTCTATAGAGACAACAAAAGAGCGGCTCCGTGCCCTTCGCAGTCTCTGCTCTCCCAAAATGCACCAACGATCGGATTGGGCTTCAAGGCCTTTTCAGGCGGGCTTAGTGCAAGATACGTGGCATACCCTCTGTAGACAGCATTTGCGCTTGGTCCCGGCCTGGACCTGCTGCGCCATGGACGATTGGGACTGGCGGGGGAGAACGGGGCTGGGTGGGCTGAATCAAGTCAAAGGCATTGTGGAGCCTTCGGGATAAGTGAGCTATCTCAACTGAATTGTCTCAAGTATCTTCAGTATATATATATATATATAGATACTTCAAGTATATATAGATAAGTATCCCATGTCTCAAGTGAGCTATTCTCAAGTTACTTCAAGATCTCCTATCTCCTCAGTTCTTGCTCTTGAGAATGGCTCACGAGGCCTCCAAGCGTCAGGTGACGGGTGAAGCCGCCTTCGTACGCCGCGGGAACCGATTGATCGAAACCCACAGGATTTGTGCCAAGTTCCGTCACGGATCGAAGCTCTGTGCTTTTCCATGTTCCTTTTTTGCCTGGTGCTTGGTGTGAAAGGATCTCACATGAAGTCATCTCAATATCAATACTTTGATCTTCAGACCGAGCACCGCCTTACCGCACCGCCTTCCCGCCTTCCCGGCCTCCCCGACGCGGACGCCGCCGATCCGCGCAGGACCCCTTTGCCGATCCAGGTGACGCGGAGCCAGCACCTGCCGCGAAGGCTCCGGCCCCAAAGCCGATCAGCGCAGTGGTTCGTCAGGAGCTCAGCGTGCGAGCGCAGCGAAGCGTTCGTGCGGCGTTCGACTGCAGGGAAGTTGGAAGGGTCGTCCCACTTGTTGGGGGGCTTTTCGAGTTCCAATCTTTTAGAGCAATGCCATGCCCTTTTTTAAGGGCAAGGTTTCAAAATTGATTGAGACATTTCTTTGAGGAACAGGTGGACCCGCGATGGGCTGAAATAGTGCACAAGAAGACTTTTTGGCCTAAGAGGGGTATGGCGCATGCTGTTCGAGGGGTCTCAGATGGTAGGGGACTGGAATTCCGCTGGAAGCAACACAATTCACACACCGGCGGCGTTCGCCTGATGACGGAACTTGAGGCAAAGCCGATGACATCTTTGCTGCACTGAGGGCTGAAGCAGAAGAGGAGGAGAAGGAGGGGTGCCGCGGGGGCACTAGTGCACAGGTGCTGAGTGTAGTGACAGAGGGTCCAAGCTGTTGGGTGGGAGAGAGCCTATAGCAGGGCTTGAGGTGTTTGGATTATATTCCAGAATGGTGGATTTCAGAGGGAAGCAAAGGTGATGGAATTTCTAAACCTTTCCCGTGGTGGAGGCGGACAATGCCGACTTTAACTAGATGTAAGTAGGCATGTGCATTTGGCGGAGAAACTTCAATTCTAGATCTTCTAGGTTCCAAGGGTTATACTTTTTCAAAAACGAGGCCCTGCACAGGGCGTAGACGGTGATTTGAACAGAAGAGCACTCTCAACTGTGGCAGACGATCGGCTGGTGGTGTTGATAGCGCAGCGTCACAGCGTCACTGAGCAACACGAGATTTTTTCAAACCGACACTCTAACCTTCCACCACAGCACAAGGCGAACTTATCTTGCCCCAGTTATCATCAAGACTAGGTCTTTGAGCCTAGTAGCATGTTCTCCGGCTACTGCCAGCCGCAGAAAATCCACCCCGTTGAACTGACTGACTTACAGCTCACCCTCCCCGTCAGGCTCCCGCTGGAAGCGGAGCGGTGGATGTTCAGCAGAGACTGGACACGCTTTTTGGCCGCCCGGCGCTTCGGTGGGTTTTCGCCACGCGGCAGGCTTTTGGGACGCGGGACGTGGATGGCGGAAGGTGCCAGAACTTCTGATCTCATGAACGGCCCCAGCTTGGGAGTCAGAATCCACCATTTGGAGATTTTTGAACTGTGCAAGTCCCGTGGATGACTTTTCTTCCACAACCTGAACATAGCCGTGTCACACTGTTGGCCGGGTGTGGGGCAAGCAGCACGTTCAGCTGGGATAGCAGTGCTTTCCTGAAGGCGAAATGAGGTGTTCTGTTGGCTGATGTTGCAGAATCAGATGTGGGTATAGGTTTTTCTCCCTCCCCCACACGTTCCGACGCCTGCATTCCCAGTTCCAAAGAAACAACCCTCCCCAAAGCTCCAGCCGCAGCCGAAGAAGGGGGCGAGCCGCAGTCAGGTCGGACGGAGGGAGGGGGGGTCGGACGACCTCCAGTGGTGTGGGGCCGTGGTCGCGCCTTGAGGGATGGATGACGAGGAGGTGGAGCTGCTGCGGCAGGAGTTCGCAGGTCGGGCCGCTGGGCGCTGGGGGGAGACGAGGACGGAGGAGGTGGACCCTGGAGGCGAGCCGGTGTGGACACGGAGTGTGGCGGTACAAGTGTGGCGCCGCAAAAAAGGCGCGGAAGACGTCCAGACGAGTCAGGACTCAGGGTTTTTCAACTTGGATCAACTTGTTAGCTTGTGATACTGGCCCTGTGGAAAGAGCAACGCTTTGAGGAGCTGGTAGTGAAGTCGAGTTTATTGTAATTGAACGTGCTTATCGTTTTGGGTGCGGGGGGGAACGGTCTTTTCACGTCCTTTGCTCTTGGCGAACGGGCCTTTGTTTCACCAGGTGTCACTGCTGACTGTGGCGGCCAACACTTCTTCCCCATGTGGCGCCGGGCCTTGCCCCTCCTTGAGAAGACCGAGGACCGGGGCTTGGCCTGGGCTCTTTGGGGTGAAGGCACCGGGAAACATCCACGGGGGCTCCAGGCGGAAAAGTCATGGAAAAAAAACAACCGGTCCGGATCAGTCTTGGGCTTGGCCTGGAGCATGGAGCAGGTGCCACCGACGGTGTCGACACCTGCGGAAGCCCGAGCTCCGTGCTCCGTGCTTCACCGACCGTCCAGACTCAGACCACAGCTGCAGGCCCCATGCAGCAATTTGCTAGGGCCACGGCCTGAGGAACGAAAGTGGTGGGAGAAAGAAAGAGCTGCCAAACACCAAGAAATGCATGAAACATGCCTCACATCTCGTGAATATCGTGATCTAGTGGTCCCGGGTTTCCCTCCGTTTTTCTTTTTGGGCAGGGCCACCGAGTCCTGGGTCGATGTTTTTTTTCTCACAACTTCGGTCAATCAACGTTTCTTTCACTGGGATCCATGAACTTCGAACATCACCCCAGCCTGCTCGTGTTTTTTCTTTGGTCTTCTTTGATTATCTTTGATTTCTTTTATTTTCTTTTCTTTTAAGGGGGCTCCCAACATTTGAGCCAGCCGTTCGTTTTTTCTCCCACGTGTCCACGTTGTGCTTTTGGCAGCACCATCCATGAGCTTGTCGTACCGTTTCCACTCCGGGTCTCAGCAGAGGGTCGCTGTTCTCTCAGCAGAGGGGAGCGCAAGGCTCCCAGCCGCTGTTCTCAGGCTGATGATCGACGACTGCGTGGGCCTTTTGGCCGATCCCAGCAGCTGGGCCGAAGACGTCGGGGCCACGCGTAGCTGCGTTGCCCGGCGGGGCGGGTGCCAGGCAGCAACGGGAAGCAAGCGGTGCATGTGGCGCTGCCGGAGGGCAAAGCAAGCAATGAGGCAATGGTGAGTTGGGCGGGAAGGGAGGTGGTTGCTATACATCAGCAAGAAATGCCGTGTGAGAGAGAGAGAGGGAGGACTTGTTGAAAGAGCCGTTTATGGTAGGGTGAGGAAACAGCTTCCTTACTTCCAACGGTCTCATTTTTTCTTGATCAGATTGTGAGGTCGTGAAGAACAACTTTGCTTCGATTCTATGCCAATCCCATGCGTGTTTATTGCAGTCCCACCATTTTGAGATCAGCTCCTGATTGTTTCATTGGCTCAAGGATGTGGCCATGAACCATGCCTGTGTGGCACCACTGACACAGAGCAAGAATTGAGTCTTCAACGGCATTGCATTTCCTCAAGCCTCCATCACTTGCAGCCTAGCCTCGACACTTGGGACCCCCCTTGCTTAGCAGATTTGGGCATGTAGAGTCTGAGGAATTGCTGTGAAACAGCAACTCTAAGTCTTTTGACTTGGCCACACACAGACCATAGAGACTGCGTGGCGCCATGGCCCTAAAAGACTGGTTCATTCGACTGAGCCTCTTGGGCCATTGGATCACCTCTCTGGGCATTCCACCGCCTCCGGATCAGGTGCAGCGCACGGTCCTCTTTGGAAACATCAATGCCTTCGCCTACTACTTTGCAGAGCTCTTGGTGGGGTCTCCGCAGCAGCCGGTGTCCGTCATCGTGGACACCGGCAGTGCCTTGTGTGGATTCCCCTGCGAAGACTGCGGGCATTGCGGACAGCATCTCAACCCGCCCTTCGACATGAAGAAGTCCACCACGAGCAAGGTGCTCCCTTGCGGCATCGGATGCGATCGTTGCATCGATGGCAAGTGCGGCTACTTGGAATCCTACACCGAGGCAGGGGGGTAGGAGACCGGGGAGGAGCTCCTTGTCGGTTACAAGCCAGAGATGTCTAACTTGGGCCAGAGATAGTTTATCATCATCTGCAGAAGGGAACCAACCAGACAGCAGCTGGACACATTGGATCACCTTGAGGGTGATGCATGTCGCCTCCCCGTTCGAGATTATAGAAGGGATAACCCCCGTGACTGAAGCCTTATGAAATGACGATCTTTTTCTCTTATGAAATGCAAATTCCAAGGGATATTTTATACACATAAGCGCCTGTATTTTGGCAACATCGAAAAATCGAAGGGATATATCATATCCATCGAAGTTGCAGTCCCCCCCGTTGCGACTCAGATTTCAAACCATCTCCCACCTCTTTTTCCAAGGCTTCCTCACTCATCCCCCCAAATCCAAGCACCACACTAGAACAACACTTGATCCGATTGACCTTCTCCCTGCTCCCCCCCAGCAGCGACCTAACACAAACCCTCCAGCTGGGGGCTTATCAGAAAGATCTCCCTGTTCCCCTGGGCAGGGCAGCAGCATCTCGGGCCTTTGGTTTCGGGACCTGGTGATGCTCAACGGCTCGGACCAGGACGGGACGGAGGAAGGGACGGAGTCGGGACGGAGTCGGAAGGAAGCTGGTGTAGAGACAGGAGCGGCACCAGGAAGGGCACAAGCCGGTGTTTTGCTTTTTGGGGGGAGATAGAGAAGACATGAGAAGACCAGGTACGTTCCAAGTGTGTTCTACACATCAGTTGGAGTTTTGTTTAACTCTTTGTTTCATGATGTTTCATGCATTAGCTATAGGGTGTATCAGCTGCTGTGTGAGGACAATCAGCCAGTGTTCGCATCCTTGGGGTGCCACACGGATGAGCGGAAGCTCTTCTACACGCAGAAGGTCAATGGGATCTTGGGTTTGGCTCCTCATCGGATCACCGGGAAGTCCAATGTCTTGAAAGACCTCTACCAGGACCACGGAGACACCAAAACCGCAAGACCCACACTTCTCCAGGGACCAGGGGCGCTCCCTTTCGGTACATGAGGCTTTGTGAGGTTCCTGGACAGGACGTTCAAAACTTCATCACGCCACTCTACAGGACTTGTTTCTTTCCACTTGCTTCCAGCCCAGCTCCTTGCCAGACCTCTTCAGGACAAGGCGCACGTGAATCACGAGATCTTTGCCTTTTGCTTAGCGGAGTGGGGTGGTCTGTTGACCGTGGGCGGCTACGATCCCAGCTTCGTGGTGCCTGGCCATCGGCTTCAGTGGCTGCCCATGCATGCCGCCGGTTACTTTGGAGTGACGCTGCAGAAGCTCAGCTGTGGCCTCCAGGTCGGGCTCCCAACGTCTTCGTTTTCGGGACCCGACGCTGATGAAACGCGGATGGGATGTTGACGACTTGGTAGATGATGTAGATGTAGATGTAGATGTAGATGAAGGACGGCTCACAGGGTCGCCGGTCTGGTGGGGGGCGATCTCTACGAACGAAGGAGTTCGTGTTCATGCCTTGAGGACAAAGGCTAAAGAAGTGTTGAGAAGTCAAAGGCCCCCACCCCATTCGGGACGCCTTGAGGCTTGCTTACATTTTCACTCTCATCTCACTTCTCCACTGACAGATGTGCAGTTCACAATTGCTCTTGGAACATAACTGAGACGACGGAGGGTGTTTATGTAGAAGCCAAGCAGAACGAGTTCCCTTTTGGACTGAATTCCAGGATCGATGCGCGGTGGCTACCCGATCCCTCACTCGATCGGGAGCCAATCGAACGTAGAGATGCCATTCTTCATACGTCGGAACTGCCGCGTTTCAGATGCGCTGTGTTTGGCTGGTGCACATGTAAACACAAGCGGTGCCGATTGAGAACCGCGTGGCGAAAGACAATGGGTGATGGGTTCGGTGCAAACCGCCGCTCGGGAGCTGTCACATCCCAGTTGTCTCGGGACCTCGTTGTCTTGTCCTCGACCGGTGAACCGACTACCTCGACGTCGGCACCGGGTGCCCGCACCCTCTGGTGCAGGTGGTGGGGACCCAGCTGGACTTCGGTACGACCGTACTGGACTCGGGCACCACCTTCACGTATCTACCGGAACAGGCGAGTGTGGCGTGCTGGGGGGGCGGAAGGAAGGCTCCAAACAGCTCTAGACTTCGGTTGAAGATTGGGAGGCACCAAGTGACATGCGAATGACTGTTACTATATCATTAGACTAATTGGACGGTTGATGCATTCTTGAAGCCACCCCCATTGGGTTGCAGATTCGGCACTTACCTCCCAGGGGTTGGGAGCTCCAAAACTCATTTCGACTACAAAGAGAAACAGGTGCAGAATGGCATTTTCGTCGCAAGTAGCAGCTCTTGAGTTGGCCATTTTACGTTGACCTCCTCAGTGGTCTATGGATTTTGTGCTGGTCAACCACCAGGTCCTCCGGTTTCGGCCCGCCATCTGATCCACCTGTGACGTCGGCTCCTGCTTCTCACGAGTTGTTTCTCATGGTCGACTTGATGAACCTCAAAATAGTTTGCCTCATCCTTTGGTTGCCCCAGATGTTGACGCGGAGGTTGTTTTGGGGGTCTAAAACCTCAAAAAAGACCGGTGACCACTCTGTCCCTCTGTCTTGGTGCCTGAACCTTGTGACCTTTGTCTGTTTCTGAAGCACCACGATGTGTTGCACTGGAAGATGGAATAAAGATCTCCGACTTCAAAATAGAAACACAGCCAAGCCTGCTGAGCGCCTGCTAAGCAGCTAAGCGCCTCTAATGGCACTTTGGCAGTGCTGCCGCGTCCGACGGGTATTGTGGCCACCAGGTCTACAATGCGTTGCTGACTGCATTGAAGACCCAGTGTGCGAACATCCAGTGCAATGCCCGGGCTGTCCAGGACAATTGCTGGGAGATTGTCTCAGGAGCGAGAAGACAATCTCAGAAGCGAGAGCTTTGTTGGTTTTCTTGGCATCTTACCCAGACACTCCATGTATATATAGTATATAGCTTTTTTTTTCATATATTGACCCCTGAAACCACCCCAAGGTAGGTAAGTATGCCAGTCCCATGGAGTGTCTGTTTTTTTTTAGCATGGCTGATCGTTTTCACTCGCGAGAGGAACTCGCAAAGGTGAGGACACAGACAACACCGCGCAGACGAGACGGCGGAATCCAAACAGAATTGCCACCTGCACTTGCTTCCTAGTAGATATATAGATCACGCTCACTCTTCAAAACAAGACAATAGGAAGATACGAGCACTATAAAGCCGTTTTCACTATTTTGCGTTTTGGGTGGGTTTTCATGTATTTTCGTGTTTGCAATCTTTTTCGAGAAAACCAAGACTTCCATTCTGACAATTTCCGCAGCTGTCGCGTTTTTGCAGAAATGCGCCCCAATGCAATAGCATGCAATAGCTATAACCATTTTCCCGTTTTCACGTGCGACTCCGCAGAATCAAGACGTACATTCCGCAGCGCGAAGGAGCAGTGCCCCAGGACCTTCCATCGATAGCCCCTTAGAGGTTATATAAGGGGTGTCCATTATACAACCACCCCGACAGGGGGTCCAGGTATGTTGTCAGACTAGTTTCGTGCGACGTGTCCAGTCTCGTGGGGCTGTATTGGTTGTTTGGTAGGCACCCGTGACTCTCGCTGAGGTTGGAGAGACCGTGGGGCATGTGAAGCCTTTTTTTAAGAACAGACCTTCAACATCCTTTAACAGACTCTAACTCTAACATTTTCCACTGGCTGTAGAATGGCAATGAGAGGACCTATTGATACATATTGTAACTACTTCAAAACTTTTCCCATTGCTGGAGATGATGGATGCAAAGGCCAAATATCCTAGTGTGTCGAGACTCCAATCATCCTCTCACGTGGATCATTGTGGATCCTGGTGGGGTGGATTTGGTCACCCTCTGACCCGGTCACGAGCCAAGCTGCGCCAGTGCGCGCTAGCTGCGCCAGGAGCCGATCCCACGAGGTTCCCGAATGTGACCCTGGAACTGGCCAATGGCCCCAATGGCGTGGTAGCCATCCAATGGCTCGCCCATGCCTACATGTTCCGGCGCAAGGCCAACATTTGGTGCTATGCCTTTGCCAACAATGGCATGTCCAAGGAGACCGTGGAAAAAAAACACCATCCGGATCCATAAGAAGAAACTTAGATGAGTTCTTTTCAGATGAACGGTTGAGTTCGTTCTTCGGTTCCTGTCCTTCGCTTCCCAGGAGACCGTGCTGGGGATCTCCTTCTTTCTGCACCAGACGGTGGTCTTCGACACCTCCCAGTCCAAGCTGGGCATCGCGGAGTCCAAGTGCCCGGAGAGCCACTACCAAACGCGAAGTGGTCGACCGGCGCAGGCGAGGGCGGCAGCTCTCCGAGTCGTTTCGACCCTCGAAACCTCGCTCTCAGAGCTCGTGTGGCTCGTTGGGGTGAAAGACATGGAACGGGGCGGAACGGGGCGGTGAACCATTTGGGAGAGATTTTGGGAGAAATGGTTCTCCTGTCGTGTTTTGTTTTTTTCCTTTGATACCCCCGCTAAAAACGATGCAACAAAGAAGCCACGATCTCCTCGTGCTTCAGCCCCCGGATGAATCCTTCCCTCCTCACGTCTCTCGCGCGACTCCGCGCGTTCTTCGAGCGAGGCGGTGCGCGAGGGCGCCGTGCAAGATGGGAACTTCAAACCTTCGGACGTGCTGGAGGGCGACGATCTGGTGCCCGCAAAGCCGCCGCAACGCATGCGTTGGGTCGCGTTGGCATTGGGAATTGTAGGCGCCTGGGGCCGGAACGGATGGGGGCAAAGGAGGAACGGAGGTGGTTTTCAATTACAGTAGGTTTTCTATCAGTCTCCGCTGGGCTAGGGCCTAGCGCCTCTCAGTCGCATGTTCACCCTTTGCTAGGTCTTGTCTTGTTAGTGGTGGCCTGTAGCATGTGCCTCTGGGCCTATTTCATGGACGACTCCGACGAGGAGCTCGGCTTGAAATCGCCCTTCACTGACAATGAGCAGTGACGGTTCGTCGCGCGGTGCCCCCGGCAGCGCCGGCAAAAAGGGACGGACGCCAACAGCAAGCTGCATGAGGTCAAGTCTTGCGAAGAACCAATGAGGTTTGTAAAGTCAATTGCTCAAAGACATGGTCATGTGCTAAATTGACCAAAGGCTCTCAACCGATTCAATTCTACAGACGTCGCTGTTTGAAATAATTCTGCATTTGTGTCGGATTGTGCGCTTGTCTACGAGTCTGGCATCACGTCACGCCTTCATTTCTTGAAAGACCCATCCACTCGGTGTCCACATCGAAGGGTCGGTCGACTATTGCAAGGTGGTCTTCGTCCTCGCATGGGGAGGGGGCAGTCTGATGGTGCAGAACTCAGAGAGGAGGGAGTAGCGGATGAAGCACTATGGGACCTGAACATAGAAAGGGTTGTTCAACCTCTCTCAGAAGGGCCATAGCCGTGTTTTCGCACATGCGCCCAGGACATACAAGATTTGGTGGAGGTCTATCGCCACTGGGCAGTGGAGTTTGCATGAGTCTGCGGGAGTTGTTTGGTTGCGGGTTTGGAAACCAAAACGCTGGTGGATGCCGGTGGCAACATGTTGTTGTTTGTTTTGTCGTTTGCCCGTCGCGGTCGTCCCGACGGGGTCCCGACGGTGGCGGGTGCTTTGAACACTCGTTTTTTGCCGCGGCCCAGCGGAATCGCTAGCTGAATTGAGCAAGGGACGAGGGAGTTTCCTTTCTTTCCTTTCTTTGGGGGTGCTCGCTTGAATTTTTTTTCTCTTCTTTAAGTCGGCCTGTCTTGGTTTTTGTTGCGAAGCATCAAGCTGTTGCCTGTGGGCTTTTGTACTGGTTAGGTTCTCTGGAGCTTCCAAAGACACCCCTGCCGATGAGCTACTGTTGCTTGGGTGAACACCCTGCAGTGATCCATCGAATATCGGACCTCTGCAAAACATGGTAAGCCTCCTCAATACCTGAAGCTGAGGCGAGATCATGCCGGGCTGCACCATTTTCATGTCCACCAGCAACCAGAAAAACAGTTGCTGGGCGCACAAGCCGGGTTCACGAGGTTCGCGAGGTTCAGAACGTGCACAGCATGGATCAATGGGCTTGGCGGGCTCTTCAGAGACCTGTCGCGATTCCATTTTAAAGGAGGTGGAGTGTAGAGTGTAGACAATTGATTCGCTCGCCGACTCTCGGATTCACTTGAGGATCCTTTTGAATGAACTCGCTGAATTCTTTTGAATATGCCCTTTCCGAAAGTAAGCCGTTGGATGCGTCTTTTTTCATGTTCCGCCCGGGTTGGCCGGTCCACCGGTTTGCTTCCGCCGGTGTCTGTGGCTCCGGAGCTGCTTTAGTCAGAGACAGTGTCCGGTGCCAGGCTTTGGTCTCCGGCGCCAATGTGCGGATCTGAGCGGTGCGCGGATTGTGCTCCGCAGCGCTGCAAGGAGCGGCAAGTGATGCCATGGCAAGTGATGCATCCTTCCACCGGTGGGTCGATGATTCTTTTGTCAGCCGTCGGCTGCAGACAGCACATGGATCCTCACAGAGGCCTTGAATCTAAAGGCTTGCAAGGGGTGAGGAGTAAGGCAAGCCAAAGGGACTTTCATATGCAGTTTTGAGACACACCTGTTTGATAACACAGAGGCTTGCGGAATTTTGGGCCCTCATCGTGCATTGAATTCTCGATTGACTATGATCGTCCAGCTGTCTTTAAATGAGGCTCCGTACTTCCAGGAATTTGTTTGCACCTCTTGATCCGGAGAAGGCTCCTCTCCCGCCAGCTTTTTCTGGAGAACGCCCAGGTGCTGTTGGAATTCGAGCTGCTACGGACGCCTGGGCGTCAAGTTCCGCCAAGCCAAAGCTGTTAGTGCGCGAGAACGGATGACGCACCAGGGGAGGTGAAGGATGGTGAATGGCAGTATGTGGGACATCTCTCGTGGTGGCACGTCCCAAAAGCATGTCCTGGCACTCTTGGATGCTCTCGGTCTTGAATTTGAGGCATTCCTCCTATCAGCTTCATGACTGAACCAGCATTCCTCCTAGCCGATCGCTTGGCGGGACATGCCGTCAGCATCTGCAGGTACATCTCTTCAGCAATTCCGGCATGCACACCTGGACCGAGCTCTTGTAGCTCGGAGTGCATCACCGGCCGCGCAGCAGGAGCGCCGCGCGGCGTGAGCTGGCCGGCGGGGCGTTGACCATCGCACCCTCTCCGCTCCTCGCACCTCTGCACCGAGGCAGGCATGGGGGTCGTTGAGTTCCAGCGCGAACCTCGAGGACGTCAACGGTACGTGCTGGCATCGACGTCGCGCAGACGTCGCACGCAGACGTGGTGGATCGCCATGGGACGGGATGATACCTGATCCGAGCCTACTTGGAGACCATAGGCCGTGCCAAGGAGACAGATTCTGGAGGCCCTGCGCCTCAAGCATTGTTGTATTTCAAGTGCTTTGCACCAGTGACCCACGTGCAAAATAGAATGAAGGCCTACAATAGCCTGCTCCCTCTCCCGAGCTCCACTGGGGCGGGTGCGGGCGCGCGACGTGGCTGGGCTCGCCAGGAGCAAGGTATTTCCCTTGCGATGCCGCTGCCGCCCATTGCAGAAGTGCTCCGAGGCAAGGCGGTCGATGAGGCTGAGGAGACGAAGCTTCCTCACCTACAATCCCAAAGCCAAGAACACCATTTTTATGTCAGTTCTTCTTAGCGGACACCTGCGGCCCTTCGCCACTTAAGCCGGTGCTTGGACCTCACATTTCTCGCTCTATGACTTGGATCCCTAACTTTATTCAGTCCATAGGCCCTAAGATCACCCTAGGCCCTAAGATCACCCTAGGCCCGATCAATGGGATATCATGGGGGATCTTCTTGGGATTTCACTCCCCACCCTCCGCTCCCTCCACCTCACCGATCCCCTTCGACTACTCCGTTCCGCGATTCCACGTTCTCCCGAAACCAAGCGACCGCCTCCCGACGGTCCGACGCCGAGCGCCGCGGCGGCTTTCTCCCGGAGGGGTGATCCTGGATTCGGCCCCGGATGGCTCCGTCCCGCTGGACGCCTGCATCCAGAGCCTGGTGCAGTCCGTGGCGGCCGTGGTGTCGCTGGCGCGGCCGCGACCGAACGGCGCGGCGCGGCGGACGCGCCTCACGCCCCGCGAGGGTTCGGCTTTGGAGCTGCGTGTGCGCGGGTGGCGTTGCGCGGAGCAGCGTGGGGTTTGGGGGGGTTGGGGAGGTGTCTGGTGTGAGATTGGGAGGTCCAGAGGCCATGGAGGCCTTGGCTGCGGTCGTGGGAGATTAGGGCAGCCTTCTTTTTTGGGCGGGGCTCATGGCTCATGGCACGTGTCGAGAAATCATTAAGGACATTCCGCAGAGCAGGTGACAATTGTGAAGGGGGAAGGCACACAGGTTGGGGCATATCATGGCATATCTAATCATTGGAGCCTTCACGTGGGTCACGGTTCAACATCCGTCGTGGGTCGGTTGGAGCGCATAAAGAACTTGTTGGGTTGGTGCTGCTTCCGTTTAGGCACGTGATCTCTGAGTCTCTCAAGTGACTTCCTAGTTCAGGTCCTAGTTCCTTTCACCCTCAGGGAACCCTTCCTCAGCTCTGAGAGAGCAGCGGTTCCACCGAGCCACGGCCGATTTTCGGCACAGCCGGCGAGGCGGTCTCCTCGAACCATGATGGCTCGGAGGAAGCAAGGAAGGAAGCTGAGATCAGCAGCAAGCGTGCAGTGTCGGCCATCATTGCTGCGCCTGGGCTGAGGAAGGAAGAACTCGGAGAGGTTTGGAAGGAATGGAGGCGTTTCATGAAGTTCTGCCATGGATTCGATAGATCTTGGAGCCATCCACTGAGGGGAGCTCTGTGGTGAAGGCGCATCTCTATCGGAAGCCGGCGAAGATGTTGACCAAGAAGGTGGGAGGAAGCAGATTATCGAAGACAACTTGTTTTCATGATTGGGCGGAGAATTACTTGTGTTTGTTTGGCGACTCAGTCAGCTGATGTCAGCTGTTTCTCATCATAATCTTAGCGACTGTCTCATGGTGAGCTTTTCTTTCACACGAGTAGAGTTGGTTCTTTGAGTCAGCTTTAGAGTTGGTTTTTCTTTCACTCTACAGTCAGCTTTCTTGGTTCTTGACCACGGCTCCACCGCGGCGACCGAGCCAGAGGCGAGCGCGGACACGGTGGTGGTGCACTCACTGGAGCCTCCAGTGCCCATGCAGTTCATCTACTCCAAGGACTGTCCAAACTCCGAAGGCTTCGAAGAACGTGAGCAACTCCAAAGGCTTGTGACCCTCGTTTTTGGGTCGTTTTTGGAGACCTTCGAGGGATTGAGATCCTTGGGATCGTTTCAGGATCTTCCTTTCGGGTTTCGGAAACACGTGAATCACCGAACCTTCGCTCGAAAAGCATCGATGATCGAGATCATCTTCAGCATCTCTGTGGCCCGTCTGTAGCCGTCTGTGTGGGGCCAGCCGGTCGTTTGCGCCACCTCCGTGGGCTGGGCGGATTTGGGAGGTGCGCGCTGGGTGTCTCAACGGCACCATGCCCGGGATGGACAAAGGGACTGATTCAGAGGAAGAGGTCTTTCAGAGAAGGGTCTCCGGATGTTCGGTGAAACGACGCTCCGGTCATGGTGTGTCGTCAATTGTATAGGGCTTCCATTTTGGGTGGCGCAGCGCCGGCAGTGTTCTTGTTTTGGGAGGTCTACAGATTGCGGCAGGGCCGTGCCATTTGGGATTTGGGTTTGCAGGTGCTAGCAACTGTTAGATGGTCTCAGAGATGATAATTGTGAGTTGAAGCCAGCATGACTGTGCCAGGATGACAATATCATTCTGGCGCCTGGCGTCGAACGGTATTTGCAGGAGACCGGCCCAAGGGGCTTAAGGGGCGTCGAACGACAGAAGCGGTGCGGAGCTTCAAGACGAGGTCCGACCACGACACATATCATAGCAGTTTTCTGGCTCAAGCAAGAGCTGAGCTACACGGTTTAAAAAAACCCCAGGCTAGTCGCCCAGACTGCTGGGAGATGTGCAGGTGGGCCAGTGTGGTGTTGTTGGGTGCCTTCAGTCTGGTCTCTTTGCAGGGCTGTGGAGAGAAGTCCGAGCCTTCCACCACCACTCTGACGACCACGACCACTCCGTCCGGGAGAACTTCCTGCTGGGTGAAGACCGGCAGCGTGAAGGAGGCGCGTACGAAGCCCTGTGACAAGTCCAAAGGCAGCACCTGGGTGGTGGTTTTTGTATATTTTTGTTGTTTGTGTATGTTTGTGTTGTTTTTCCTATGAACACTCCAACGTTTCTATCTCTAATTGAACATGGTCCATCACTCCCTGGAACTCACGTGGAGCACCACGTGGAGAGAAAAAACACGGAACGTTGGTAGCGGAACATGGCTTTCCAACAGGTCATGCACATCACGCTGCATCCGTTTCCATGAGAATTCCAGGAAGATGGGGTCTCCCATTGTAGACCATTTACCATCTTCAGATGGAATTCCAGGGAGTGTAACAGGCATGATGGTCCAAATTCCAAATGGTCACCTCCCACTTGGCCCAGAGAACTGGAGTTTTTCGGGTTGCGACCCGGTCAGACCAGCCAGGCCAGCTCTTGAGCACCCCCGATGTGCGGGTCACGACCGTGCAGAAGCACAAGAGCTATGTGCACATGGAGCTTCGAATGGACAACCAGACCTTCCAAGCGTCGGATCGATCCGCCTTCAGTTTGACACCCCATGGCCTCACCCAGGTGACTTTGCAGGTGCCAAGTGCCGCAAACAGGATTTGTGTGATCCTTGCCAGCCAGGAGGGCATGGAGGGCATTATCGTGGCAGAGGACATGTCATTATGCCCCCAATGCGCAGATCCCAAGACAACTCTGAAAGCATGGATCTTACAACTTGAGCAGGATGGCCCAACTACGCCATGCCCCTACACGAATGATGAAGAGGGGCCGACCATGCTGAAAGCTGAGGGTCTGAGAGACAACCTCACACTCCACGTGGACGCGGAATCGTCGCAAGATCTGCTGTTAGCCTGAAAACCCGGCCGATCGAAGATCGGCTCTGATGGTTTTTCAGCTCTGGCCATGGCGTCTCGAAGGAGCCCATTGGCCCCTTTTGCGAAGATCATCGGCGAAAACAACACTTTCCGGGCTTAACAAACATTTCTTCGTGGACGATTGAGTGACCTGACATCCTTTTGAAGTTGTTCAATCCTTTTTCAGGACATGACATGACGTTCCACGCGACCCGACGTTCCACGGGACCCGGGCGTTGCGTTGCGTGACCCGTCGCAGGGCGGGCGTCGATTCCGCACCGGCGCAGCCTGAGGAGGTGAACGAGCGGCCGAGCCGGCAGGGCTTGGCCAAGCCACGTGTATGGTGCATCGAGAAGTCCAGGCGCCGGTGGAGCTGGGTCGGGGAGGGGGTGGGATGGGGTGGGATGGGGTGGGGTCGGGTAGTTGGGTGGATATTGAGATGTTTGAAGCACCAAGGCTGGGTTTCTTGGATGATGGAGCTGCCAATGGACGGGTTCTGGAGATGGAGCTCGATCGGCTTTGGAGAAGCCTGCAGATAGTGAACAGCTCCAGTTTAAGAAAAGGAGATGGTGCAACTCTTGAACCTTCCCCCTTGTCCCTCCACAGTTTGGTTCATTTGGACCACTCCCCGTCCAGTTTTGTTCATTTTGTTCATTTGGGCCCCACGCCTTCAAACTGCGCCCCCGCACGATTGTGTTGATGTGGGAGTCTCCATCTCTCGTTCACCTGATCCATTGCCAATCGCCTTGACGTCCCACGTGCTCTCAAGGCATTGCATGCACAAGCTCTCTCGCCCCGAAGAATACAGGCACGGGATGGGAAGCCGGGGGACCTCCAGTGCGGGTGGTGCAAATATGAAGTGGATGCAAGGCACTGGACCTTCCGTCTTCAAGTGGGATATGATTTTTTGGGGGGTCCATCAAGAATGTAGCACTGTAGCATGAAAGACTATACTCAACTCTCTTGACGACCCTGCCCTTGATGCCAGGAAGTGCCTCACGGTCTTTGCCCAGAGCACCATGGGTTGAGAATCCAACGGCCCAACGCCGAAAGCTGAGAGGCTCCAAAATGAAATCCGAAAAAACCTGATGGATTCGTCTCTCCTTGGAAGGTCGCGAATGCCACCCTCATGACAAGGCACGACATCAGCTAAGCAGCTTTTTGCGCATTTGGATGGTGGCTTTGGGGCTTTCTCTTTATTTATGGTTTTCTGCGCGATCGAGAATAGACCAGAGGTGTTCCTCCCTTTCCTGGACGATTTGTTGACATCAGGTGTGGAGAGGGAGTCGTTTTCCCGCACTCCTCCCGCGGGCTCCGACTCCTGAATTCTCACGGCCACAGTCAGACACATAGGCCGCGTGAAAAGCCGACCCGCCGCCGAAGGGGGGCGCGCTCCGCTGCCCGGGTTTTGTCCCACGATTTTGCCAGGCATTCGGGTAATCCAGTGATTATATATGGTTCGAGCAAGGGGTAGAAACTCAGGTCACGTCTTTCTGCAGGCCTGATCCATAAGTTGTTTCATGCACTTGTGGCCCTGCTGATGCCCTACCCATACCCAGTCATTTAGCACCTCAATGTTTTATTTCCAGATGTTCCTTGAGCCTCACCATGGCTGGGCACAAGCACCCGCATGCTTGCTTTGTTGCGGCTTGTGGGTCGAGAGGGCGCCAGCTCTGCATGAGGACCTGCATGAGGGCGCCAGCTCTTCTGTGCTCAAACGCTACCAGAGACCAACCCAGAACCAGCGCATGAAAGCATTATATAGACATGTCATTCCTGCCAAAATAGCCCCCAAATGTTGGAGATGGCCACACGGACAGATTAGCTCGGCGCTGCAGTGCTACTTATATACAGCACAAGCTGAAAGAAACATCGGTGCTGCCACGCTGCAGGGGTCTTGCAAGTTTGTGATTTTTTCTTGACATGGATGGATGTTTTTCCCAGAGTCTGAAGAACCCCCATGGTCGAACACCAACAAAGCAACACAAACAAAAACACAGCCAAGAGTGTCGAGGCTCGTAGGTTCTTGAGAAGCACCGCAAAAAAGGCTCGTAGGCTGTGTGCCTTCATGAGTGGAGAGAAACCCGACGAAGTGCTGATCTTGTGTGGAGCCTGGTGTTGGATTCGAGTTTCGGGCGATCGTGAGCAGTTCATGGACGTCCCGTGAAGACCAAACACATGGGCTCGGCTCGTTGTGTTTTTTTTGATCGAGCGGAGCCCTCAAGAACAAGCACATCCCTTAGGATTTCTATAGAGGGCCTGGTGGATTTGCCAAACCTCTCGGGGTGGGTCAGGACATCCTCAACGGATGGGCCCTTGCACTTGAGAATCTGTTTTGATTGTGCCTTTTCGCTTCTTTGTCTTCCCCCTCCAGAGAGAGGGTGGGAAGGTCAGCTAGTTTCTACCAGACTCTTGCTGACACTGCGGCGCAGAACATGGAGCCCACAACGCCATGTAGCGAACGACCAGTCTCGTCGGTAGGTCAACTTTGGCTTCCGAGTTCGGACCCACAGCCTTTCTCTAAGCCGGTTCGTTCTGTTTCACCACGTCAGCATGGGGATGAGGCGATGGTGGCGTCGACGATTTGCTATGTTCTCCTGGCATGGCCGCACTGGCGAGAGTTGAGCTGCAAATGATGCTAGGGAAGGGGCTCCGTGGTTTTGGGAGATGGAAGGGCCATTCACTGAACGTTTGACAGTGATGGTGGCACCAGGTCTCCAAAAAGTAGGACGGAGCAAATGAAGATGATGGTTGCCATAAAGCATGTTTACATAGGGCCGAGAACAGTTCAAGCAACACCCATGGCTGGCAAAAAGCACGTCGGAATTTCTGAAGAACTTGGGTGTTGAATGGTGTTGAGGTGTTTCGGCTTGACTACTAGAGTTTCTTGAATCAAATGGCCACTGCGGTGCCAGGATGGTCCTCAGCACCTTCATGCAATTTTACGTCTCGCACGGCACTTGGAGAAGGGGCTGGGATGGCAGGACGGCAGGACGGCAGGACGGCTGGAGAGAGCAGGTGGGATCAAGGGAAGATGAGTTATATACATGGCCTCATGAGATCTCATGAGATGTTTGGTTCGTGTCAGTATTTGCGTGGCTTGTGGGTTGACGAACGTCCAATTGCCAAGCCGCTTTCGAAAGAGGCAGAACCGAGGGCACGGCACTGCAGCGCAGACTGCGCAAAGGACTCCGCACTTCGTGCCAAAAATGCCCTGGAGGTGTTCAGAAATTTGCACACACCTCCCCAGCTTGGTTTGGAGTGTCAGCTGAGGTGTGCGAATCTATCACCACCTGGCAGGGGTTTAGACAAAGGCATTTTGCATGAGCATGTTGCAGCATGCTTGTGCAAAATGAAAACAGATGGAAAGAAACTTCTTTGAAGGTTGCCCCAACGTTGAAGGTGCCTTGTTGAAACAGCGCGCGCGAGAGAGAGAGAGAGAGAGAGAGAGAAAAAAAAACAGAGACAGACTTCTTTTGGCGCACAAAACAGAGACAGTCTTCTTCGGGTTTCTTTTCATTAACATCTTTGGAGGATTTCCTGCCCACCGAGGTTCAATGCCCCTCGCTGCCCGTCCAGCGCACGGGCGTTACAGACGGCCTGTTACCGCAGCTCGGTGCTACGTCCTGATGGTTGGGGAGCTGCTTTGGTTTGTATTGTTTTGGTTGTTCGCTTGGTGGGTCGGTTGTTTGGGTGGTCGGCTCGTTTGTTTGTTTGTTTGGTTGGTTGATTCATTTATTGCTTGTTTTGTGTCGTCATGTCGCCGGAATGGCACTTTTTCGACTCGACTGAGGCCCACTTTTTCGGCCATCGGAGGAGGTGGACATCCATGTCCTTGCCTAAGAGGAGGTGGACATGTGTGGAAGGACTCTTGAAGATCAGCCAAACGATGTTGAAGAGGATGTGGAGGACAGATATTGATATTGAAGAAGTTACACTCCAAAGCTTAAGAAGTGACCTTCCAAACCTTTTGTCCAAATCCGTCCGAGCAAATGCTGGTACGGGGGTCTTCCGCGCCTGACTCCAGCGCGGCTGCTGGTGGCCGGCTGGCGACTCTTACAAGGAAGGCCTTCATCAAGTTCCAGCCCTACGTAGAATCTTGATTCGTAAAATCCTCCGCCATTTGGACGGTCAAATAGCCCCTGCATGTGGGGGTTTTGAGCTAAAACTCCAAGATTCCACAAGCTCGCCGGGAGCCCGAAGCCTTCGCGCCCACTCCTAGAGGTTCTCGTCTCTCGAACCTCTCGTCTCTCGCCGTCCTGAGGTGTTCCTCACGACGGAGGAGCAGCTGCAGTGGTGGACGGCAGAAGGTCACTCCCTCAACCAGCGATCTCGTGCCGTAGCCGGCCGGAGCCAGCTGTCTGGGCCGGAGTGAGCTGGGCGACGCCGGTACGGACGTCCCCCCAAGCCCAACAGGTGGGCGCAGAAGGCGCAGAAGGGTGCCAGGGGAAGTGGCTGGCGGCCAGATGTGGCTAGTTCAGATTTCCAAGGGAGGGGCCCCAGAGGCCTTTGTTGATTGCAGCGGTTCCGGTGCGGTCGAAGGTGTTCGGGCCCAGGTGTGCGGGAGCTGATGGAGGTGCCCCTGTTCAACATGACGGTGGCGGCCCTCCCGTTTTTTTCCGTTTTTCCTTCGATCTTGGTGACGCATGTGTCCGTTTTTGGTGCCAGAATGTGCGAGCTTTTCATCATTATCATCAATTGTCTAGCTGCTAGCTGTTATATACCCTGCTGTAAGTCGCTTCACGTGGCTTGGGCTTGGGACAGACTTACAGTCCTACACAGCGACTCGAGTGGTGAGCACTGTGGGTTTCCAGTGGCACTTCCTTGCCCAGGCGCGCTACGGCGAGGTGAATGCCAGCACTCTGCCCGGGGGACTCGGTTCTCCGGTGGGTGGGGCTTGTAAGGAACCTGGCAGAACCCTCGCAGGGAGGTCTTTGAGCCATCGATGTTCTGAGTTGGGGGGCCGAGAAACCCTGTCCAAAGTACATTTACATATCTACCATATAGGAAAGAAGACCTGCATGGACCCTCCTGTCGGGGTGTCCAATGGACTACCCCACACTACCTATAGGCTTCCATTGGGCACCCCTTGGAGGTTCCGGGTATGAAACAGCAGGATGTTGAGCTTTGTACGTACTTAAAATTGACCGCCCATTTGGCCCCACTCGACAGCACCGAGGGCCACCGTGCCGCTGTCCAAGCTCCCGAGCGTCCGGGGCGCTCAGCTCGTTTTTCATGATTTTCTGCGGGGCGATGTGTGGAAGGTGATGTCTTCGAGTGATGTCTTCCAGTTCGTTTCGACCATTTTCAGGCAACCCTGGTGCTTTGATTTTGGGTGTGTCAGGGTGGTTACACTTGTGAGGTGTACCTCGAGGTGAGGTTGATTCGCTCTGGATGGGTGTGAACCATTTTTCAGCAGAAACACATCGGTCGAACCGCTCGGGGGGGCCCGGGCAACCGGTGAAGAGTCGGGTTTCGGACAGACGGCGTGGCGTCCGAAAAACGTCCCAGAAAACGAACACCTCTGACTCGCGAACGCCGAGTGAGTTGGATGTGGTGGTTCCAAAGCGTTTTTGTGTTTTGGATTTTCGCTGGGGGAAAATGTGATTGGGCTTTGCCGGGCGAACCGCTCGATTGCTTTCGCGCGCTCGCTCAGGTTCGGCTCAACCAATCCTTGTTGTATGCGCACTCTTACCTAGTGAAGTCAGGCGCCAGGCGGGCACTGAGTGCCGCGTTGGAGGTAGGAAGGTGGGGCCGGTGGGGTTATGTTCTTTTGGTGTTCTGTCTTGAGTTTGGCAGTCTCAGACTTTGTTGTCCAGCATGCTTTGTAGCTGGCCGAACTTCACTGATTTCGTGGCTTTGGCGGGGCAAGTTGGGTCTTTCCTCGCTTCGGTCGCCCTCGGTCGCCCTCATCGGCGGCTTGCGTTTGAAAGCGGTTGGACAGACGGCTTGCCCGCCTGCTTCGGCCGCGAAACGCGTTTGCTTCCTTTGCTTGTGTTGTCTTGCCCGGCTTGTCCGAGCAAACCCAGTGGGAAGAGCAAAGGGGTTCCGCCGCTTTTGCGCTTGCTACGTGCCCTGCCGTATGTTGCTGTACAGTCCTGCATGATGTACATTCCCGTTTGTCACAGCTTCATCACCAAGGCACTTGGCTTTGCGCATTTGGATTTCCTCCGATCTATTCGTTTAGCATTCTGCTCTAAATCAGTACCTATGCAGCACAAGCACGGTGATGCTGAGCTCAGATCCACAACTGGCTAATGTGAGTGGCAGTACAACAGTAGCGTGTGTGCAGTGTTGTGCCAAAGTGTGGTGAAGAATGCCCCTGCGTGGGCGCTGGACAGACCACGATGGAAGAAAGGCCTGAAGCGGTCGGGACAAATACTGTAGTTCTAGAGGAATGTATCCAAACAATTTTTGACAGTTCTCATATTGAATGACAACAGTTCTCACATTGAATGACAGTGCATGGAACATGCCCCACGACTCACCCCAAAGACCCCACTTTTGGGGAACGTCGCCCTGGCCGGTGCCAGGTTGATGGATGAAGTGCAGAAGTTGGCTGCAACCGAGCAGCCGAAAACTTGGTTGAAAGACCTCAAGACTTTCTGGCGGGAGGACTTCGGAACATTTTTTCGTGGGCTGATACATTGCACTCAAGTGTTCGAAGGGGTTACTTTTCATTATCTAGTCATGAGTTTCTAGAGCGACGATTCGATCTCTTACTCTTTTCTTCGCTTTCCAAATGGTAAGGGATTTTCCATACTCATTTGAGCCTTAAAGGCTTCCGCGCTCGAGTCGGGTCGGATGCGCGCCTGGTGCGCTGCCTGGTCGGACGTGCTTCCAGCAAGTCGGAAGTTGGACGTGGCTTTTTTCGTGGCGAGGCCTCCGCTGCGGGGGCTCATCAGCGAACAGGCGCCGGGGGCCCCTGGCTGTGGCTGAACCCGGGCGCCGTTGGCTTCGCGGCAGGGAGGCTCTATGGAAGTTTCCTATCCTGTCAGGTGTAATCCTTCAACCTGTTTCTGTTTTGGGGGGATTGGTTTCCGGCTCCAGGTGGAAAGAGGTTCACCAGGCAGATCGGGTATGACTCAGGTTGCACACCACCGCCGCGATGGTGAAACTCCAACCGCAGGCCAGCGGCGGCCAGGGCTCAAAAGACCTGGGGAGAGCAGTCCAAACGAGGGTGAAACTTTTTTCCAGCAGGCATCGGCATATGTACAACCCACCACGTGGTTCTGCTTCACCGATGGACCATCATGAATCGGGTCATCTTAATAGAGCGGTCCGTCTTCCCTCCCAACCAGGCGTGTGCTTGTCATCAGCTTCGCGGACAATATATGTGTGCAATTGTGATCAATTTTGGCAATGACCATGACACTGCAAACCAGAGCTTTCCCAGAGGCGCATTTCTGGCTGCCCAGCTTCCAGAATGTCATTCCACCAGAAGCTATAGTGGGAATGCTACCATTTTTGTCCTGGTTGGATCTGGTTCAAGGATCCAACCTCTAAATATAAGTATATAGATGTCGTGGCATTCAGGAGGTACCCAAGAACATCTCAAGAGCTTTGGAGTCCTTTGGAGTCCTTGGTGTTTCTACCAAAGCCGTCTGCCTCCTCATGCCTCTTTATCCGTCCTTCCACTCTCGGCCGCTTCCAGGTCCGAAGGCCGACCCGGAAGCTTTTAGCCGGGCGCCCTTGCTTTCGCATGGTCGAAGCGCATGGAAGGTATTTTCATGCTATTTCATGGTCATTCTGTCGTTTTGGCACCGGAATGCAGGCATGTTTGATTGAACTTCCCCCTTTTTTTAGCTTTCCCTTACGTTTATGGACGTGCTCCATCTCTGACACTGAGAAGTTGCTGTTTCCGCTGAGGAGGAGGTCAACGCAACTGAGAAGGAGGTGGACACCGAGCCGGGCCTCCTGGAAGTGGTGCTGGAGTTGGCCAAGTGGAACAGCCTGTGATCCTCGAATGTGGAATGACAGGGAGTCCAAGAAAGGTCTGAACCAAGTGCTTCATGACGAGATCCGGTAACACCATGTGGGTGATGATGTGCTGCTGCTGCTGCTGCTGTAGTTAGCTGGTCATGGCCCGAGTCGGCCTTTGGAGCGTGCACATCGTGCACCTGAACAATACCCCACGAGTTGTACATGGGCTCGATTTGACCAAATGCGCACCATGTGAGCCTTGCAATTGCTGCAAAGGATGTCCCATCAGGCTTGCCAAAAAAAGACTTCTCGTCCCGCCCTTCCTTTGTCCGAGCCTGAGGCAGGCTGAGAAGGTCACTGTGGAGCTACCCTTCGCGACGCGTTCGCTGGAGGCAAGGGTCATGTTTGTCATTTTAAGTCTATGACCAGCAATTTCGGGCCTTTTTGAGCCTACGTCTCTAGTGGCACAGGGCGGAGGGGGAATCAATTGAAAGTTCAGGCAGTCGGCCCACTTAGGTATATCCATCCTCGGCCCTCAAATGGGCCCTGAGCTCCAGATTCGGCGGGTGGCTGGCTCTGGAACGGAAATGCAGGACATGGATGGAAATGGTGGTATGTAGCTCCAAGTAGGTGCCACACGCAGCAGGTTGAAGCCTGTTGAAGCTTGTTGATCGCATTCCCCAGCACGCACCACGACGCCGAACCGCTTCCGGAGACCACCCGCCTACCGCACCGCGCACCGGCCCGGAAACGTCCGGAGAAGCCGAGGCCACCGGTCTCTTCATTCTGACGTCGTTCCTGGAGTGCGCGACCCCAGGTGCGTGGCGCTTCGCACTGCGATGCACGGCGCCACGCAGCACTCGCGCCAGGGCAGGCTGGGCATGGTGAAAACACTGTTTTCGGCGCCCGACGTCACGAGGCCAACGCTGTACATGGCGGCCTTGCGCCATGGACGGGAGCTGAGCACGGGATAGGTTGGAGTGTCTACATCTTGATTCTGCGCTGTGCACTCTGGCTGGTCCAAGGCGATTGTGGTTCAATTGCCATCATGCAAATACTTCAATCAGTGTAGAATGCTGATGAATCAAACCCACCACGTGAAGAGGTTGTTTGCGCATCCAATGAAGGTCATTACCTGCCGACGTCGGACGTGTCCACCACCTAGGCATTGCTTGTGTGTGGGCCAGCGTGCTGAAGCTTCGGATGGACCAGGCGGGGACTCCTCAGTCGAATTGGGGGCGTTGTTCATTGACCTGAGCCAATGCACCGGCAAGAGGAATAAATAGCCGATTCATTTGTATTTTTAGAGGGTGATGGTTGTTGACCTGACCGCCTAATTGATGCATCTTTGAGCCTATGAATCTCTTCCGGGTATCAGCTGATTTCCATGGAAGTTGACGCTAACACGCCAGGCGCCTTCCAAAAAGGTGACACCTGAAATGCCTCGTTTCGTGGTGGACTTAACAATTTGCGTGTGACACTGTGTGGCATGTGCATGAGATGGTGAAGGGTCAAAACCTGTAAGTAACAATTATATATATATATATATATACATTCAAAACTGTCTCGATGCCACATGCTACGCACACATGCCCCGAGTTGCATCATCTTCGTCCGATTCGTGTCAAAGACGTTGGAAGGAACAACGTTATCTGGTCAATCCAGGGTTTTCAGAGTTCTGACTCCACGTCCATCGATGTGCCTTGTGAATCAGATGGTTTTCACCTTCTGCGTTTGCTCACATGCTCAGCTGGCACCAGCTGTTAGCACACCTCACCTGATCCCTTGGCTCTCCTTGGTCGGGGCCGGCATGTTTGAACAGTCGTTCGCATGTATTCATGGTAGGAAGGAGGCAACTCGCTAAACCATGCTAAACCTCTAAGGGGATGTCACCAAAATGCCATTGTCTGGTCCAAGTGAACGTGTCTCTCCATTTCTCATGTGAGTGTTTCGATTTGGCTGTTGGGAAGAGCATAGTCGAGCTTTCGCCATATATGCCTCCCAACTCGAAACAAAAGAGATCAGTTCCTTCGAAACCGGAAACAGATTCTGTTAGGAACAGACTCTTTCAAAAGCACAAGCGCCGTCCGTCGACGTCGTCACCGGTCGCCTCCGTCGGCGTCTCCGCCAGGAAGTCTCCGCCGACTCCGAGGAGCGAACGACGTTCATCGGCTGAAGAAGCACCGAAGCGGGCTGCCAGGGCGATGTGGAAGTGGAGTGAGAAGTGAAAGTGATGAGGGGGCCCACCCTGTGAGTGAACTTTCAGGATGGATGGAACGTCATCAATTCTGAATGGGGCCTCTTGGCTCTCCACGTCACTGACATGATGGTTTCGTGCAGTGGATGTCTTAAGATCTCAAACAATCCTTTGGATGTGGCATTGCTGACCAGAGGACTACGACGATGCGTACCCCCCGCCATTGCTGTACAAGGCAACGGATGCATCAAATCAAATCTATAAGTCTTCCGGCAGTCTGATCAGCCTGGCATTCGTTTAAAGTTTTATACTAGCTACTTAAGTATACTGTACTTATTAGGCTAAGGTCATGCGTGGCATAGGTGTACAAAGTCTTGGACATCACACCCACAGCAAATCATGGTAAAGTGCCTCACAATTGGATACTTCTCCACAGGAGATGATCTTCGACCATGGCCAGCCCTTCCCTGTTCGGGAGCGGGAGGCGCGGTGCAGATCGACCGAGAGAGCCGGCCCGGAACATAGAGAACCCTTTCCGGCTGCGTGGAACTTCCTGGCCTTACTACGAACGGAGCGATCGGACGCTATATATAGGGGCTCCTGGCCTCGCGACCAACGGAGCATTCGTACTACGAACGGGACAAGAAGCAAAGACAGGAAGGGCAGGAAGGTCCTCTTTTGTCCGGCCTGTCTGGCCGCTCCTGCCAGCCTATGGGCCTATGGTGCCAATGGAGGCCTTCTCTAGCACCCCTAAGAAGGGTACTCCAGACGTTCTTCCAAAACAGTCAGTGAGAGGGCACAGATAGGCACAGAATGATCGAAACGGCTCCCTTTCGGAAATTTCAGCTTGGTGAGAGGAGAAAGTTTACTCAGTGGTGTAAAACCACATTGAATTAGATAATAGGTTCATCAAAACCGTGTTCGCCCAGTAAATCCAAAAACCAAACCATCAATAACATTCAACACTCTGGAGATCGAGACCGGTGCGGTCCTGGGGCCAGGTACGCTACGACGCGCGGCTGATGCCGCTGGACGTGCAGGGGGGTCATCCGTTCTGTTTGACAGCATGTGACAGCTGGGTATAACTAGACTCTTGAGTGCTGGACCCCCTCACCCATTGGGAATATGGCAATCTTTTTGCTATGGGAGGGTGAAAATATGGTATGGGAGGGGAAGGCTGGTTCAAGTGTGGCACTGACAAGGCTCAAGACAAAGTGATGAGGGCAAGAGAAGCACTTTTAGGAAAAAAACACCAGGAAGGAAGGAACGGACCCACTCCTTACGAACGCCAAGTCAAACCCATCACCAACCCGCTTGCTCCGGCTCGACGTTGCCACGGTCGACCCTTCCCCCGAGGCAGTCCGGCGAGAAGCTCTACGCACCTCCCTTCCACATCGACACCTGGGGCTCGGGCGCCCCGGTGGCTCTTTCCGCTCCGGTTCCGGGGCTTCCGGGTTCCGCCGGTGACACCGAGGGATATCGTCGAAGATGTGGAGACCCTTGGAACTCAACGAGTCCAGGCGCGGTGGGGTGGGGCAACTTGCTTTTTCGCGACAGACAGATGAAGCAGAAGCAGAACACGAAGACCTTGGTGTGAGTGATCAAGAGGTCTCAAACAGGTAGCTGCATGATCTCCAATTTCGAAAACCATCCAACAAGACCCGAACTCTTGTCGTCCGAGCAGCTCGTCTCGTGATGCCTCCCGGAGCATGCCTCCGTCCGCGCTACCGCAGGGAGGACCCCGTGATCCATGCGGAGGCGCGGAGCGATCGGTGTGGTGGAATGGAGCAAGCAGCGGGCGAAGACTGCGAGAAGACGAGTGGTGTGAAACAGGATGACGCAGGTGAATGGTTGGTTTTCTTGAGGCACTTTTTCCTTGAACATCTTGACATCTCAAAGGTTGCTTCACCTAAAGCCCTGGAAGAAGCCAGAAATGGAGACCGACCAGCGTCACGAGCTTACTAGCTGACTAGCTGTTTGGCAGTGACATCAGGGTCGCTGACTAGATAACACAACGAACATTGGCGTTGCATCTGCCCCCCATCATCTCCACTACAGTGACCGCCTCCCGCGTTTTGAAGATCACTGAATAGCATAGAGCTTGGTGTTCGAACTTCTTCACCCAAACACCTTTTTCGCACCTCTGGGAGCCGTTCTTTATGGCTCACCCTCGCGTCTCCCGCCGGCACCGCACGGCACACACGCCGCGGCATCGGTCCGTCGCGGGAGGTGAAGTTCGTGGGAATGATCCAATACAGCGCCCAGAGGACCCTCATGGAGATGATGAGACCGCGACCGCGACCGCCGGACGTGTTGGGCCGCGATCGGCCCGATGCACTTCGTTCGGTTGGAGGCGGAAGTCAATCACCGGGGGGGCACACGAAAGGGTCGTTCGGTGCGCGTTGGTGTTGGCCAATGAGCTGCAGAGGAGTCAGACAGATGCAGAGAAGGAGAGATTTGGGGCCCAGCTTTTCCAGGGCGTGGTACATCGTGGTACACGTGGTGCTTAGTGAATTCACGTGGAGGTACATGCGAATGGGCTTCACCGAGCGTGATTTGGAAGACATCAAGGACCGTGTCATGACCGGAGGGAGGGGGTCGGTCAGGAGTGCTCTTTTGGCCCCGGCACCGTGAACCCTTTTGGAGGGTTTGGTTAGATGATACGGTGGTTTCAGAGTAGATGGCACAACCCCAAGATGTCTTTTATATAGGGGTCCATATAAAGCACCTTCTTTTGGGCATTGTGCCATCTACTCCGAAATCACTGTAGATGAACCGTCAGGCTGCAGGCTTGATGGGAGGGCCAGAGTTTAGAAGTCGGTGTAGAAGTGCAGGGGGCGTTGTGAGATAGGTGAGGCACTACATTTGCCAGAAGCTCTGTATGGATGAACGCACGACTCATTGGAATTGCCACTGGGAAATCATGCCAGGGGAGCCTTCACGCTGCATACACTCTTAAGTAGAGAAAAAGGTTGGTGCTGGCAGCAATTGGTGGGTGGATTGTGGGCCGTAGGATGTCACATGGATGGACAGACTCTGCCGTGCCCCTCGTCCATGCCCAGGAGTTCTTATTTCGACGCCCGCTGCACATTATGATCCTCATGCAGGCGCTGAGGGGCTGTGGTCGATGCTTCCAAAACATTCCAAACCTGGAACTATACACGAGGATTGTGGCCAAATCATGCCAAATCTATGGTGTTGCTCGGCCCCGCTGGTTTGTTCAGAATGGACAGAGCTTCCGGAGGAATTGCTCCCCTAAACCGTCCCTCGGTCGCCGATGTGGTCCATCACTCACACGAGCCGAATAAAAGCACTTCTGGTCGTTCAACGTTTTGTGGCCCCAACTGAAACCCCAGGTCATCGGCATCCTGCAAACGATGCTGTGGACGTGGGGCAGCCCCAGGGCGAAAAAACACACCACAACATGACTCACGTTGCCGTTGGGCGTCTCTGTGAGACGACTCCGGGATGAGTCATGCCCGCCAGAGAGAGAGAGAGAGAGAGAGCGCGAGTGACAGGAGCTGTTTTTACAAGCTTGGGGGGCCCGGAGTTGCGGGGCAACATCTTATCATTTGCCAACCGTCGCATCATGTGGACTGTTGATGAATCAAGAATCAAACCCCCCAGATGAAGAGCTGTCACAACATGTTGCAAACAGATATGGTGTGAGATTCATCAACTCCATACTCTATATCTAGTTTCTTAGGTGAGCCAACCACACATCAAGCAATTCTCAGCATCACTGTGCGTGACCAGGGCAGCAAGACATATGCACCGTTTGCCCCCGGGCAAAGCGGCGAGCCGCCGGATGGCCATCCCAAGCAAACCACCTCCAAAGGTTTGAAGTGATTTTTGGGCTTTCAAAGGTTCTGGCCAAAGAGGCCAAAGTATTGACACTGCTTGGGCACAAAGACAGACAAAACCCCAGACCTTGAAACTTGATGAGCAGGTTCCTGCCGGTCATGAGACTCGAGATTGTGACACAAACCTTGGCGGGTAGGTTCTGGTTTGAGGGGTTATTCTGGGCACAATGGCGACCTTGCCAAACCTGATCACTGGCCTAGATATGCCTAGATTGGTCAACCAGTCTTGGATCTTTTTCGGGGGTCGGTGACGGAGTCCGGCCCGAGCCAAGGTTGGCGTTCAAGAACGACATCAGCTTCTTCAGGGGACGTGCTGGCCTCATCCTGTGAAGTTGTTCACCGACCGATGCTGTGACCTGCCCTCCGATGGCCCACGTCCCGTCACGGTCCCTGATTCCCCCGTCACGGCTTCCGAGTCGGTGCCCCCTTTTTGCCCCGAAGAGATCCCAACACACCTCGAACATCGCGTCACTGTACATCGTCCGTGGCCGGCCTCTTTCCTTCCCTGGCCTTCTTTCCCTCGACCTGCCCTCGGCCCTCGGCGTTCCGCGTCGCGCCTCGCGTCCCGCCAAACGTGACCGCGTCAGGCGAAGACTACCGTGGCTTGTCGAGCCGGTCGATGGGTACGGATGCTGCAAACGTCGGGGGTTCTCAGAAGGTGAGCGGTTGAGAGAGACGTTTTCTCACCCTCCCTGAAGAATGGCATTCTTCTTACTGTATCATGGAAGTGGAAGGTTATGGCATGAAATCCGAAGACTCGCATGAGCATAAAGTGCATGAAATCCGAAGACCAAGGTGGTTTTCCACTTCCATGATTCAAGGGAGTGTAGATTCAGATATATAACATTATAACTATATAACTCATTAGATCATTAAGATCAAGAGTTGTAGCTTGACGAGCCCTATTTCTCGGGTTCTAGCTTCGGTCTATCCCTGGTGTTTGACTCGCACCCTTTCTTGATTCAGAATTTGGACACGTGTAGAATGACTCGAATGACTTTGCAACAAGGCGATGGTGATCTTCCTCTACCTCTATGATTTCGATGACATCTCAAGGCTGATCTTGTTCCAGCTGGGCATGTGCTTGCCCAAGCTTTTTTTCGGGAGGGACTCGTGGCCCACCGGAGCTGCCCTGGTCTAAGGACCACCGCCTTTGACCTCTGGAAGTACGCCCGCTCGGGCCGCCGAGCAACACTGGAGACTGGGTCTCCCTTGTCGGAGGAGCACTCACAATCGACTCTGAAGTTCGCGGTGTTTCCCTTTTCTTTTGGGGGGAAGCCGAAGATAAGACCGAAGATCCTTCGCCTTGGACCCTTCCCTCCTTTTTTGGCCTTAGATAGTGATACCCTCCAACGAACACTGTGGGTGACTATGGATGACATGTTTCCTTTAGCAACAGGGTGGCATCCACTTTTTATACGATTTTATACGGGTGTGCAGCTTGAAATCGGAAGACCCCCTATCTCGCCCCTGGCTGAGTTACCCCGGGCGCCCTGAGTCACCCCTGCTCCCTTCGGTCGAATGCCCTGAGGCGTGGCTCGACTTCATGTGCGCTGGCCCGGAGCACTCAGAGGAAGCTCCGGTGCAACCGCCCGGGACAACGGTGCACACCGGTGCACTGGTGCAACAGGGTGGTGGTGATCTTGGGATGTCTTGGGTGCGGGCTAAACATGAGGCAGAACTCCGAGTCGAGAGCCTTTATTGTTTCACCCATTCTCACCCTAAACGGTGCCTTCATTTGTTTTTGACAGCTCTTTGGGCACGGCTAGGCTAGGGAGGTGATTCGGTAGATGGATATCACCATGGGTCAACACAAAGCCGATGTACGGCGACCGATGCACGGCCTCCCTGCCCACCGACAGCTCTCGGGAGCCTCGCACTCAGGGCCTTCTATCTGCCCTGGGTGAAGTCTGCGCGCGTGGAGGAGGCGAAAAACGGTGTCGTAGTCTGAACGACTTCGCCAGATTGATGTGATCCTAGCACAGAAATGCACAGAACACCTCGCAGCTCACCCCAGAACTCACCACAGCGTTCCCGTCGCCTCCCACGGAAGGCTTCGGCCGAAAGGAGGACGGATGAGATCGATGCGAGGCCATGGGGGGGTGCGGGAACGGTGCCAAACGGTGCCTACATGGGTGCGCATTTAAGGTAGGTAGATAGATAGATAGATAGGGAGACCCGGAATGAGTGGGTTTTGGGTGTTTTTGGGGTACTTTCCCCTCTTCAAGGGGTCTTTGGGAGGTCTCCCTTTTTTCATACGCACCCACATGTGTGTAGGGCTTTCTGCGAAAGCCACTTGTTGTTTTGGAAGTCAGGGCGATGTTCTACATCAAGTGCGCCATATTCCCCATTTGTCTCTTCTTTTGCTTGTGCGGCCCCTAGAATCGTTGCGTCAGGCTGCCCGCTTCGTCGAAGGAACCGTAGGATCACGGATCGAATCAACATGTCCATTTGGTGTGGCCTGCTACGGTCAACTATCAGCTGCGTTGACATGTCTATCTAGCACTTACTTAAGACTCAAACAGCAAAGAAAAAAGACATCAGCTGAAACATGACATCGGTCATTTGGAGGATTCTAGAGGGAAGTGTATGTAATTTGGAATCTTCAAGACGTGTATGGCGAAGGCTCAATTAATCAGTTTGTAGTCTTGCACCACGTTTTGATCACTCTGAAAGCCACTTGTTTGACATGATGTAGGCAACGGCACCAATTCATAACATGGCTCTTCAGGTATGCTTGTCCTGAATGAAGGCTCAAAGGGCGGACGGACTGCCGAGGCATAACCTTACTTACTACCATTACAAGAGCTGGTGGAGTTGGTTGATCTCTTCCATGGCGGGGCCCGATGGCTGTCCGAGTTGCCCGAACCCCGATCTGGTAGAATCGGTGAGTCACTGGATCTTCCGCACGTGTTCAGCAATGGATGGAGGGTGAGCTCCATAGAGTAGTAAGTAGGCAAGAACGGGCTCTGTATTCATTCTTTGACATCTGAAGCTTGCTGTCGCACGTGCCTCCAGGCAGATTTCTCATACGGCTTCGGATTCATCAATATGCTGCCGCGCGCCTTCCATGCTTGCCAAAGATCCGCATACCAGCAAGAGCTAGGCATGTTCTTGTTTGCAATGCTTGCCATTGGTTTGCGTCAGGCAAGTCATCATCAACTACCACTTAAAATCAGTTGTCCTGGCCTTACTTTGCTGTAGTTGTCATAGCACCTTCCCTTGTTGGAAGCCTTTGGCAGCTTAGGCTCATATGCCTTGGAGAGTATTGATCTACAAGTTCTTCAACACCTTTATTGACACTCGCAAGTTCAAGACCTTCGTCCAGACGACCCCACCGCCCCCAAAAATGGTATACTATTAAATGAACAAAATCCTGCACCAAAGTATATAGCATCCGATTTACACGGAAGTGGGAACCATCCTGTTCAAAAAAAGAAAGCTATATTGTGAATTTGTATGCATTGGAACATGCATATCATGATATGAGATGGCGGCCCTCTCATGTGACCATTTTGGCACAAGGGCCCTTGAGTCTGGCTCATCCGAGCCCCCGACGGTTGCGCAATGGAAAAGTGAGCGCACCGCTTGCTTTTGGTCGTGACGGAGTTCTTTGATCCCCGTTGGTTGAGTTGTGACAGTTGCCTTTACAAGTTGCTGTTGATCCTCCGCTCACCATTTTACATGGTAGCGGAGCTGCCAAGCTCCAGGATTGCTTTGTGAGGTCCCGGCCTGATCCCGGGTGCGGTGCAAACCGCAGAGCAGCTCGTGCCATCTAGGTACATTGCTTGTGCAGTGGTGCAAAGTTGAGTTGACGTTGATTGTTGAGCATTGACATTGATTGTTGGTTGTGGAACATTGTTGTTTGTTGTTGGCAGTTGGAGCCATGGACTACAAAGACACTCTCAAAGACCTCTACTTCGATGGGAAGCCAAGCGGATATCGAGAGTTCAGACGCAAGCTGATCCTTGGTGTTGCATCCCTTGAGGACAAGCAACAACACCTGGCCGGTCCTCGAGTCCTCGGAAGATTGTCTGGCGAAGCTTGGAAAGCGACCGAAAACATTCCAATTGCTGACCTTAGATGTGAACAAGGCTGGCTGCAAATTGTTCGGACGCTTGATCAGCATTATCGTTATTTGCCCGAGACCGAGCTCCACGAGGCCATAGATGAGTTCCTTTTTGGGTTGAAGCGGAAGGGACATGAGGGAGCCACTTCCTTCACATCCCGGTTCAAGACAAGTCTGCATCGCCTGGAAACGCTCATCTCACAGGAGCGACAGCTGTCGAAGAAGCAACCGAAGTCCGCAGTCGAAGAAGAAAAGAAAAAGGAAGATTCGAGTAGTTTGGAAGAGTCGGACGAACATGCCCTACCTCCAGACGATCCCAATGAACAAACTGATGAAACTGAACAAGAAGCTGGAGATGAAGTCCGGCCAGAAGCCAAGGCCAAAGCAGCACCTCCTCCAGGTCCTTTTGATCCTCCCCTTGATCCTCATCGTCGGACCGGATCCACTCCATCGGTCCGAAGTGCGAAGTCGAGTTCAAAGGCTTCACAGGGGAAGTCCACTGGGACTCAGAAAGGTGACCAGCGAAAAGATCATCTCCGTATGCAACGTCTTCTTGGAACGTTGGAGCAGTCGCATACAAAGCCAAAACCGATTTTTCCACAGTCAGTTTTGGGACACTTGTTCATGAGAAAGTTTGGTTTGTCGCGTGAGCAACGCAGCCACATCATTCGTTCAACAGGCGGCTCCAGTCGATTTGTTGACATTGAGAAGATTTTGCGTGCTAGTGACTATGAGGAGAGATTGGATGACCGGCGACCACGGCTGGACGATCGTCGACAGGTGAGACCACGACGCGAAGCCTATGCTGTTGAACAAGTTGCTGAAGCTTCATCCACCTCCGTCGACCCACTTTCTGACTCCGGGTCTGGTGAAGAGGCCTACCAAGTTGAGGGTGGCGAAACATCTCTGGGTTCAGGTTCTGAGGAAGAGCTGCAGGAGATCTATGAGATTCAGAAGAAAGCAAAGAAAGAATTCAAGAAACAGTTTCGCACCTACAAGGAGTCAAAGAAGAAGGTGAGGGAAATCAAAAGAGCACGACAACCATACATGCCGGTGGTGGCCATTCCACCCACCGAAGGCGGCCAGTCCCAGGCTCCACTGGGAACTCAGGCTGCATCGTCCAAAACACCACGCTATGAGAAAAGGTCCTTTGACAAGAAGTCGCCACAAAAGGACCCAAAGAAGAAACCACCGAGGCGTGAGGACGCCAACCTGACAGAAGCTGTGGAGATTGTTGACAGGACATTGACCGAGTTCAACTATGCCCTGACCGAGTCCACCGCTGCTGAACTGGAAATTCTCCTGGCCTCAATTCCATCGGGTTTTGCAATCATTGATACTGGTTGTACAACATCCGTTGTTGGCGAGGAAACAGCACAGAGATATCAGCAGGTTTTCAGACAATGCAATTTTCCTCCACCCGTGCGTGTCACAATGCCTACAGTTGAGCTTCGTGGCTTTAATGGTCAGAGCGAAACAACAGCTGTTGGTTTGAAGTGGACAGTACAGCTGGGTTCGTTGAAAGGGAATATCACGACATATGTTGTTCCTGGAAGCGCACCATTCCTGCTGTCACGAAGGGTGTTGGAGGGTATGCAGGCCACACTGGACTTGGGCCGAATGACCATCACGAGTCCAAAACATGGTATGCAAGATGTACCCCTGAAACAGGCCGCAAATGGCCATCCGCTGTTGTCTCTGGTGCCACAGGTTGCTGAGTGGGAGACAGTCCTCAACGACTCGAATACAAATGAGCCCAATCCGCATGAAGCCCAAGCGATGGACCGCCAGTCCATCTCCGTTGATCTCGAGCACCACCAAGAACTCAGAGGACAGGACACGAACAAAAACAGTGTTTTAAGTGCACCAAAAATGGAGCCAACCCCGTGTGATACTCGGAGGGCGTTTCAAACTGTGTGTAAACATACCAAACGAGGAAACGTCGATTGCAGTGCTTTTCGCGCCGAGCTGTCCCAATTGTTTTCATGTCCCGAACACCCGGTGGTGCATGCCTATGTAGCATATAAACCTAGACTAGAAAGGATTCCTGCCGAAGCCGAACGAACTTCACTTGATATGAATGTAGTCTCTATGGATAAAGATGGAAACATGCTCATGTCAGGATGGATCGTTCGTCCAGCCGGACGGGTCAGAAGACCTGTCAACCCAATGCAGGTTGCGATCTTTGCATTTCGATCCGAGCAAGCACCCTCTGAACCTGAGAGTGCCGGCAGTGAGTCCGATCGTGTCGAACCAGCAGAGCCGACGCCATCAGCGCACCAATGTGATTGTTGTTGTAATGATGACATAGAAGGGGATTGGGAATACACCATGCAATCAAACACCCTCGAAACTTTGTATGAAGAGGTTGACTGGGTAGATCTTGACTTGCAGGATGTTCCAAAAGAAACCCAAACGAAACTGAAAGACGCAATCACAGCTGCACGCCGTGTCGGTGTACGCATGGCTTTGTCGCGACTGCAGAGCAATCGGCAGGAAGTGCTTTCAGAACTTCGCCACTGGTTGGGCAACCAGGCTAGTAAACTTGACTCCAAGGTTGGACTCATAGAAGTTTTCACAGGAACAGCCAATTTGTCCAAACAGTTCGAAAAGAGAAACCAGAAAACAGCAATCCAAATTGGGATAGATTATGGACATGATCTTGGTAGGTTGAGGGATAGACGAAATCTCCTATACCTGGTAGCCTTGACAAAGCCTGATCACATTTGGTTTGCTCCCCCATGTAAGTGCTGGGGTCCCTGGTCGAGGTTCAATATGGCATTTTCCGAGTCTAGGAAACAAGAAGTATTGAAAAAGAGACATCAAGCTAGAAGACATCTGCAATGTGTTTCGGAAACATGGCATCTCCAAACCATCCTTGGAGGTCATGTACATGCTGAGAATCCGCACTCGTCCGATATGTGGCAGGAGTTAGTGCTTGGACCAGCCTGGTCAATCCGAATTGACCAATGTGCACTCGGGCTCCGTAGCCCCAAATCCAACATCCCTGTCTTGAAGCCAACTCGGATTGTCAGCACTCAGGAGTCTTTGATGCAGCACCTTGTCCCATTTCGGTGCGACCATAAGCATGGTCATGATCATCTAGAAGGAAACTACAAAGGTAGAAATCTGACATCCTGGGCCGAGACATATCCTAATAAGTTTGCACGTGTCATGGCCGATGGTCTTGCCAAAAGTCTCCATGGACATTCGGGTCCAGATGCAGTAGAGATCTTAGCTCAAGATGAAGAAGAAGATCAACTAGAAGAAGAGATAGAAGATCGATCAGAGAGACTGCCAGACCATGACGAGCTAAATTCGAACAGCCGAAGTTTGAATCCCAAGCAGCTGCGAGTGTCCGCATTGGTTCGTAAATTGCATATGAACACAGGTCATGCATCGACAGAACAAATGTTGAGGCTCGCGAACCGTTGCCAAGCCAGTCAGGAAATTGTGGACTGCATTCGGAACTTCCAGTGTCCCATTTGTAATGAACTCAAGCCTCCACCGTCATATCGTAAGAGTGCAATCCCCCATGCAGAGAACCCGAATGACATAGTGGGTATTGATTTTGTTCAAGTAGAACTCAAGAGAGAGGGACGTAATGGGAAAATGACCGAAGTCAAGTTCAACGTGTTGACATGTGTTGATATGGCCACAGGTTTCGCGCAACAGATCATCGTTGAACGCGGTCCCAATCAGCTGTCAGTAGCTTTCCATAAGGTGTGGACACGTCCCTACGGCACTCCTAAGATAATATTCATGGACCCTGCCAAGACTAATCTCTCCCAGGATTTCCAAGAGTACCTAACACACCATGGCATTCAGTTGTTGCATGCGGCTGCCGAAGCACACTATCAGCTAGGTCAAGTTGAAATTGCCAATCGCATTCTCAGGAACATGGCCAATCGTTGTTGGCCAGGCACTGACCGTCCACCAGAAGAGGTAATAGAAATGTGTGCAACAACCCGTAATGAACAACTTCGAAAGCATGGTTTCAGCCCAGCACAATGGTTCTTGGGAAGGGACTCACGCCATGTGGGAATGCTTGCCGGCTTGGATGAGCAAAGAAATTTTGCTGCCCAGTCGCAAATCCTGTCAGATCCATCGTTTGCATCCAAGATTCGCCTTCGTGAAGAAGCGGCCAAGGCCTTTCATGAAGAACATGCGAAGGATGTTTGGCGAAGAGCTGTAGCCTATAGACATCGTCCCATGCGAGGACCATACGTACAAGGTCAACTTGTATACATGTTTCGAGCAGCAGGAAGAGGTCAGCTTAGCGCAAGACATGGTAAGCGGTTAGGACCTGCCAAAGTAATTGGGGTAGAAAGTTCATCAAATAGTCCCATACCACGCCTAGTTTGGACAAGCTATAATGGCTATCTCTATAGATGTCGACCAGAAGGCCTCCGTCCAATGTCCGAAGACGAAACTGAGTTTCGAGCGCTTGCAAGAGAACTTGCATTAGGCCAGCTGGCACCGGAAACGGAAGCTGCAGGTAAATCATTGTCGGAGGGCGTCGCTCGTTTTCATGATCTCACAAAGGACATCCCTGGTCCAGAGGACTTCGAACTCAAGGAAGATGTAGAAGCCGAACCTCATCCTGAGACCATCGATGACAGACCTGATTCGGAGGGTAGACCACATAAGATAAGACGTAGATTCTATCGTTCCCCTGAATATTGGCAAAAGAGATCACGAGGCGAGATTCCACCTCTCGGCGGTATGCATGAACAAGAGTTGAATCAGCAGCCATTTGCCGCTGTTGCTCCTGAAGAGATCCCCGAGGATAGACTTGAGCCAGCCGATAAACGTAGAAGGGTTGTTGAAATTGATTCATCTCCAAGTTATGCACCCACCGAACCGCCAGTTCCTCTTGAAGAAGAGGGATCTCAGTCAGGCTTTCAAATGCACAACGAGCTTGATGAGCTCATGCCTGACCCAGGTGCTGTACCTGCACACCTGGAACCAGAGACAGACACTAATCCGCCCGAATCCGATAGACCCGATAACACCGATGAAGTAATGCCTGAAGTAGACTCACGATCGAACGAGATCGAACCATCTGGCATAGATGTTCCCGTTCCAGAAGCTGGTGAAGACGAACTAGCGGTAACAGCCAGATTGCAACAGGCAGAACATGTGTTCGAACTTCCCATTGACGTCCATCCCGAAGACATCACTGAGAATCCTCTGTGTCTCTGGAATCTTTTTGAAGAATGCTTGCAAGCTGCGCCGCAGTCGAAGGCGAAGCAAAGAAGGGTTGAAGTCCAGTTCCGCAAACTCAATCCACACGACAAGAAACTGTTTCTCCAAGCTATGCAAAAGGAATGGCAAAGCTGGATTGACAATAAGGTGACTTCACTTTGCAAGGCTAGAGGGATTCCTACAGAAAGAATAATCAGAGCAAGATGGGTCTTGGTATGGAAAAAGTCATCCGATCCTGATATCACATCCAAAACTCCAAAAGCACGTCTAGTTTTGGTAGGATGGCAGGACCCGGACCTAGGAAAGGTAGCAACAGACAGTCCAACTTTGCGTAAGGAAACAAAGCACCTTGTTCTATCCATTTGTTCAGCATCCAAGTGGAAGCTATGGGGAGCCGACATAAAAACAGCGTTTTTGTCAGGTGATGAATCTTGCAGAAACATTTACTTTCGACCTCCAGCAGAAATCAAACAATGGATGAACTTGAGTACAGATGACCTGTTTCGTCTTGAGAAGGCTGCCTACGGCCTGGCTGAGGCACCACGTGCTTGGTTTTCCCGCCTGACCAGGGAACTTAAGGAAGCAGGGCTAACCCAGAGCCAGTTGGATCCATGTTTGTTTATGTTGAGGAGTAAGTCCGATAACACTTTGAAAGGCATATGTGGAGTACACGTAGATGACCTACTAGGTGGAGGTTGCAAGGAAATGGACCAAGCCTTGGACCGACTCCGAAAGAAATTGCCGTTCGGTGACTATCGTACTTTCACAATAAGATATACAGGAGTAGAGATTCGACAAAATCCAAATACGATGGAAATTGAAGTAGGACAAGAAAATTACATCGAGAATTTGGAACATGTTGAAACGAAGACTTTGGGAAACGCTTCAACGTCCCTTACAGATCCTTCTATCCTTAGAACTTGCGCCGGTCAGTTAGCCTGGGTGTCGAACTCGACACGTCCGGAACAGGCATTCCTGGCTTCGTATCTTCAAGGGGTTCAGGATAAGGGGAAAGTTGAACACGTCCACTTGTACAACGAAGCCGTGAGGGAAATGAAAACTAGAAAAATCTGTTTGAAATTCCCTAGCCACGTTCCAGTAAAAGATTGGCACATCGTGTGTATTGCTGATGCTGGCTGGTGTACTAGAGCTAACGGTGAAAGTCAAGGTGGATACATCCTATGTCTTACGACCAAAGACATCATGAAGAACAAGGAATCCCCTGTATGGATAATAGATTGGAGTTCTAAGAAGTTACGACGAGTAGTTCGTTCCTCAGTAGCAGCAGAAACCATGTCCGGTCAGAATGGACTTGATGCGATTGAGTGGATTCAATCCCTGCTTGCTGAGATCCTAGAAGGCCAATCGCCTCGAACATTTCGAGAACGAGTCCCAGAAAAGACAGCATGCCTCGTTGTTGATAGCAAGGGTTTCTTCGATGCAGCCACAAAATCGTGTAGCTCTCCTACTATTAGCGTAGAGAAGAGACTTCAGATCGACTATGCCATCGCAAAGGAAAGCATGTCCTTGCAGAACATCATGGTCTTTTGGACTAGTAACATTTTCATGTGTGCAGACGTGTTGACTAAACTACGAGCCGACACAGGACCTTTCTATAAACTCGTTGACACTTGGAAATACACCATCCACACCGGAGTAGAGTCAGGTAAGAAAGAAAAAGCCAAGGCTAGAGCTGCAGAAGCAGAGAAACGTCAACTAGATGAGCACTAGGGCCCATGCATGCATGTTGTGAAGTGAATCCAACATTTGCTTGGTGAAACTTAAGAATTTGTTAGTTAGGTTGAGAAACCATCCATTGCCAGCCACCTCGAACCAGTTCGTTGCTGAGGAGTCGTCCTGGTTGTTTTTCTCATTTTTCTTGTGCCGCATCGGTTAAACCGAATTTTTGCACAGCCTTTTTGCTCCAAGGAGCGCACGACCGTGAAGTGTCGCCCATTCAGTCCCGCAGGATCATGTCGAAAGCAGCAAAGACCGATGATGAGGAATATCACATCCGGTCACCACTGACGGATCAGGATCTTAGCATGTGTGCCGGCCTTCTCCATCGAGCTGTCCGTTTCGGACAAAGTGCACAGTTGCTCCAGCGTGTGAACGACTGGGTGAAGATTCGTCCAGACCTCCGACCAAATGTTGTGGGAGCTCAGGTCATCGTGGATGCCTCCATGTCCGCCATGACTGATGCTGCGAAGCGACGCATGGATGCCGATGAGACCTCTCAGGCCTCGAATCCGTGGGAGCTCTTGAATGCCAATGAGCCTACCGGTTCAACCATGACACCGGAGCACCTTGCTGTGAGCCCAAAGGGATATGAAGCTGGAAAGGTGAACTTGTTCCCAGTGGCCAATGTGACCGATCCCTTGATTCCCTTGCCTGAAGGAATCAGCACCGTAGAGAAATGGGGACAGACCATCTGTCGTATGGATAAGGTGAAGGCTGAAAGCCTCACGTATGATCAAATGATCATGACGGCCCGCACGAATTCGAAGAAAGGAGAAGACATGCGTCAGTACCTCCAGTTCATTTTGTCAAAGTATGGTACTGGTGGAAAAGTGCCATCCAAGATTACCAAGGCCGTGGACTTTGCCATGTACCTTGAAAAGGTGAAATGGAAGAAGCCTGATTTTGAAGGTCTTGCTGAGAAGTACGGATTCAGCCGAGAGCTGCGTGACTGAACAGTGTCGCTGACAGCATGGTCCCATCTTCGCACCGCCATGAGGGCGTGTGAATTTGTATGCATTGGAACATGCATATCATGATATGAGATGGCGGCCCTCTCATGTGACCATTTTGGCACAAGGGCCCTTGAGTCTGGCTCATCCGAGCCCCCGACGGTTGCGCAATGGAAAAGTGAGCGCACCGCTTGCTTTTGGTCGTGACGGAGTTCTTTGATCCCCGTTGGTTGAGTTGTGACAGTTGCCTTTACAAGTTGCTGTTGATCCTCCGCTCACCATTTTACATATTTTGTCATCCGCCGTTTTCCGCTTTCCGCGATGATTTTAGGGAATGTATGCCAATAGTATGGCATAGTCTGGCAGAGTTGGTCGATGTGTCGATGCCGCGATGCTGAAGGTCGCGAAGTGAATCCAAGTAGGTTGTTCAGGGCGCCCTTTTGTTCCCAACGTCTTAGGGTTTTTGCCCACCTTGTCTGTAGGGTTATGGCCCATGGCTCCCTTTAAAACACCTAGGAGCAACGGAAAACAATCCTGCTTTCAGAAGGGGTGTGTGTGTGTGTGTGGTTGCTGATTGAATGCTTTGACATGATCATTTGCATCTTTTTGTTTCCTCCTCCCCGTATCTCCGCGCACCTGCCGAGGATGATATCTTTGCCTTCTTCATCATGAGCGATCGCATGACTGCCAAGCACAGGCCCCAATAGCTCGAGCTCGCCGTGTCCGACCACCCGCAGGACACACCCACACACACCGAAGGAGCCTTTGAACGAACGTGTTCGGCAAAACCGGAGGGGACTGGAGCATGTGACCGAAGTCGCTTCTGCGATTTGCGATATTTACCAGGCTACCGCCTGCAGCCGCCGACCCCCAAGGGATAGAACCTTAGCGCTAGCCTTGCTCTATGTTAGCCTTAGCCTTAAGCCTTAGCCTTAGCCTTAAGAGTGCAGACCCAACCCAGCACGACCAAAGCAGGTACCCAAAAAGTCGACTTTTTGGGTACCTCCCAGATTTACCATCGGACGTCAGCTCTTGCATGAACCCCGATCATTGCCCAAGAATTTAGACCCAACCCTTCACCACCAAAGCAGGTACCCAAAAAGTCGACTTTTTGGGTACCTCCCAGGTTTACCAATTTAGACCCAACCCAGCACCACCAAAGCAGGGACCCAAAAAGACAAAGCCTAGAGCATTCCTAGGAAAATGCCAGAAAAGCCTTTGAAAATCTCATAAACCAACAGAAAACGTGATAAAATCTACAAAAAAAACAAGGGCATTGGCCGGGACCATGCCGCGACCAGCCCGGGATTCGAGCCCAGGACCATTTTGGACCGTGCTTATTTTCCCGCGCGGGTCGAGAGGGTGCCCCAAGATGTAAATCAATTGGGATGGCAGAATCTTGGACAATTCCCGGGTCGCTCAGGTAGCTTTCAGGGCACAATTTCGTAACTCCAACAAGGGTCCGGAGGGGTAGGGGAGGTAAGGTCTAGGTCTAGGTCTAAGGCTAAGGACTAGGTTTGAGGCTAAGGATAAGGCCTAAGGCTAAGGCTAAGGCTTAAGGCTAAGGCTAACATCGGACGTCGTCGCTTGCATGAACCCCGTGATGCTCATCCCTTCTCCCCATAACGGATATCGTTGCCTTAGAGTTCAGACCGATCACCACCACAGCATCACCAAAGCAGGTACCCAAAAAGTCGACTTTTTGGGTACCGCCCAGATTTACCTTCGGACGTCATCGCTTGCATGAACCCCGTGATGCTGAAAAAGCAAGGGCATTGGCCGGGACCATGCCGCGACCAGCCCGGGATTCGAGCCCAGGACCATTTTGGACCGTGCTTATTTTCCCGCGCGGGTCGAGAGGGTGCCCCAAGATGTAAATCAATTGGGATGGCAGATTCTTGGACAATCCAGGTCGCTTTCCTGGCGAAATTCGACCGGATTTCGTCACTCCAACAAGGGCCCGGAGGGGTAGGGGAGGTAAGGTCTAGGTCTAAGGCTAAGGACTAGGTCTAAGGTCTAAGGCTAAGGCTAAGGCTAAGGCTTAAGGCTAAGGCTAACATCGACAGTCACGCCTCACCCCACGGTGTGGGGTCGGCGGATTTGCGTGGGCCTTTTTGGTACCTTATGGCCTTATGGGACTGTTTGCCACACTCATTTATATATATATATATATATCTATAAAACATGCCTGTTGTCTGAGATGGATTCCGTGTGGAGGCCCGCTGTTCAACATGATGTCATCGATGCATTCGCCTTCGACGTGTTTTTTTCTCAAGCGTCAGGCAGCAGAAAATTTGGTGACCTTTGCGATCTGGAAAACATTCAGCCAGGATTCAGGATCGTGGAAGCCCATTTGTAACATCAAAACCCTGCAAGGCAACGTCCAGGAAACGCCACAGGATGACTTGAACCTCCCCCAAGAACCCCAGCCCAAGCACATCACACCACATCACACCGCTTTTTCACCACGTCCTAGACTCGTCTAGCCTGTGCTCGGCCGCAGCAGGTATATGACCCTTCGCGACGACCTGGTCTTTTTCATCTTCCTGTACCAGTCCACTCCTTGGGCGCTTCGAGTGGCGAGTCGACCGGTCGAGACGGTCTGTCAGACCGGTCGGCCTCGAGGCGGTACATGTACAGCGTGGACAAGAGCCGTCCAGATGAATATGGCTTTGCCCGGAACCTTAGATGTCAATGACGTGTTAAAGGTATCCGTATCAGTTCATGACAGTTCATGACAGACGTTCAGAGAGGGGTGAGCATGGCGGAAGAGTTGGGTTTGCTGTGCGAAGAAGAGAGGTCATTCGAACCGAAATTCGTATGAATTCGTTGATGGGAGAATCATGGCGTTTGCAACGTTATGTTTGTTTACTGTACTTGTTTCGGTGTTTCTTCTCAGCTCATCCATACATGGTTTTATTTTGTCTCAGACAATCAGTAGTGCCCAAGTAGTCTCCAACTGCCCTATCTCGAAGTGTTGACGAAAACGGTGGGTCTCCATGCATGTTCCCCAAGGTACATGACGGAGGTGCTCCACTAGAAGGAGCTACCAGTGATGGTTCTTCATTGGCGCCTGCAGTCGGAGAAGGAACAGCTGGAAGTATTGATGCCACTCGAACTGCGCCTGAAGTTGGAGGAGGGACTACTGATGCGCGTGTTGCTACCCTTGAGGCTGAAGAAGGAACCAGCGATGAACCCTCACTGACGCCTGCCGTTGAAAGAGGAAGTGCTGGCAGCACTGATGCCACGGCGGCTGCGTCTGACGTTGATGGAGCGCCTGAAGAGGAAGTGCCAGTAGTTGAAGGAGCTACCAGTCATGTCCCCTCAGCAGCTGCAGTGGCAGGAAGTGTGGCGCCCGAAGATGAAGTGCCTACAGTCGAACAAGATGAACAAGGTCCTGTTGATCAAGCTAGTCCTGAAGCCTCTCTAGACGCAAAGTAGGAGGAGCTGCCAAGCCTTTCCGTGACGCATTCGCCACATTCCCAGAAAGCACACGCGACAAAGCACGCGGCAGCCACGCGCGACCACCAGTGACATCGGACTCCAAGAAGTGACTGGTGGCGGTTTTTGCACAGAACCGGTGGCGGTATGTCCTGCCCCCCCCTGGTGGTGTAGAGGATGAAATATAATCTGAAATAAAGGGCATATAAAGGGCCATGGCATCCATTTCCAGTTCCAGGCAGTGACACCCATGTGGTTCCTACGGGAAAAGCCATGGATTTGCCTGACAAAGACTTCCAGCTGAAACTGGAGCCAGACATAGCCAGACAGCCCTGGACCTCATGTGCCTGGATCATCCCCCTACCCCCAACAACCAGACATAAATTTGGTAGTCAAGGGGTCGAGGGCACCCACCGTGGGGTGGAAGTCTGTCGGGTGCATGCCTGCACCCGATAGAAACATCACTTTGATGGTCGAGATTTTGTGTTCGACGTGGGTTCTTTTGATATTCCGTCACCGGTGAGGCTTAGAAAAACTGATACTGTACACCATCATGATGGTACATGCATCAGTTTTATCATGTACCTTTATGTCCTCGCGTTTCGTGTTTGCTCGTCTACCACTGGTGGGGGGGGTCCTTTTTGCAGGATCAACGGGCACGCGCGGTCCACGGGGTCAGGGTCACCATCGCTCGCCATGGCAACGAAGAAGGCCTCGAAGGCTTCCAAGTCAGCAGACTCCATCAATGCGCGCTTGCAGCTGGTCATGAAGAGCGGGAAGTACTGCTTGGGACTGAAGACCACTCTGAAAACCCTGCGTCAGGCGGGAGATGTGATGCTTTGTGGGGGTGATGTAGGCTCTTGATGACTTGATGACTCTTGACTCTTGACATCTCTTGATCAGATTTCAGCTCGTCGTATGAAGAGGTTTACTCCCAGTCTACCCCTACCCAGCCTCCAGGGGAAGTCCAAGCTGGTGCTGATCTCCAACAATTGCCCCGCCTTGCGCAAGAGTGAGATCGAGTACTACGCCATGCTGGCGAAGACCGGGGTGCACCACTTCCATGGCGACAACAACGAGCTGGGCACCGCCTGCGGCCGCTACTACCGGGTGAGCTGCTTGTCCATCACCGACCCAGGCGACTCCGACATCATCCGCAGCTTGCCCGGCCAGGAATGAGTGGAGACAGAGACGAAGACAACGCGATGCCCAGGAAAAGGTGCGACATGGGCGACCTGAAGTAAGGTATGTCCCAGGATGGGGGTTACAGATCTTGAAGGTTTCTTTTCCATGAACTCCGCGAGACCCACCTTTGATTCGCAGTTTGGCCAAATGAACTGTTCCAACTGCGTTGTGGGCATGGGTGCCGAAAGCACGGACCCCTCGGTGCGTGGGAAGAGTCCATGGGAGCGGAAGGGAGACGGCTACGGAGGGGCCGGGGACGATATCGCTGAAACATCCTGAAGCTGCACTGAAGCTTCCTTTGGAAATGTCTCTATCTTGCATGGCCGGAGGCGAAACTTGGATCCGGTTTTCCATGTTTTGTCTCTTGGGAGTCTGGAGCAACCTATCCGGCAGGGATCAACGATCCAACAATGGTGAGCTTTGGCATTGGTGCGCGTTTACGGAGAGAAACATGAACAACAACGGGCATTTAGGCTCAAAATCTGAGCAATCTACGGTCTACTTGTGGACGGCCAGGTCATACTTATTTCCATATTCTCATGGCAGATGCGCCGCTTCTCAGCGGGGCGATGCCCCAGCCTCAAGGTGGTGGAACCTTTTCTCCACCTGAAGGCGGGGCTGAACATCTTGCCGAGCATCTGTCTTGGAGGTTCTTTCAGGTCCTCAACCGCCGTAGGCTTGAGATACGCACCCCTGCCACACTCAACCTATAGATGCACATGAAGATGCCAGATCCTCCTGCTACGACACTGCTCACATGAGTATGGCTCCTACTCTACCTGTCCGTTTTGCCAACTCTTCGCTTGCACTCTTGCAAGACAAAAGAAACACATAGTGCAAAGTCTTGAACAAAGTTGAAACATGTTGAAGAACATATTTTGGACATGCTGACATGCTATACTCGCGCGCACACGCACACACACACTTTTGTTCATGTGGAGAGTATATTCACGAAAATGCCACGGACGTTCGCAACGCTTGCGCACCGTGGGACGTTCGCTCAGGGCTGTCCTCTTTGGAGGCCGCGGGACGCCTCCGGAAGGATGGTCCCAATGAGCTGGATCCCCCACAGGAGGAGCCCTTCCTGAGGATCCTTCTACGGCAGGCGGATTTGGCGGGGGACACGGCAGAGAACACCGCATGACCCGCCGTGGGGGGCCGGAATCTCCTCCAGTCTTTCCGCCGAAAACCGCCAAGCCGAACTTCCCGGGAGGGTCGCCGCGAACGGCGCGCCGCGTGACCCGCCAGGCGCAGAGCGTCTTCTTCCTGCTCTCGTTCCTGGCGGCGGTGCTGTGTCACAGCTCTGGGGATTCCTCGCGGGCGGCGATCCTGCTGGGTCTGGTGGTCACCGTGCTGCTGTCGAACACCTTCGGGGAAGCTCGGGTTTGGGCAGGTGGTGTAGGTGGCTGTAGTTGTTGTGGGTGGGATGACTGGGAGATGTGGAACGATGGGCAGGGGAATCGATCTGAAAAGATGAAGATTCACACCCAGGGTCCTTGTATCATCTTCGGACACCCCTTTTGTCAATCTTCGTCCTGTTGTCTATGTAGTTCTTGGCATGGCATTCGCTACAACATCATGGATGTCACAACATTGTCATCGGTTTCATCTCATTTGGGGCCGATGGTGAGTGAAAGCTGATGTGTTCTATAAAATACATGCACCATTGTTTATCATCATTTGAGGGCGGTCATGGTGAGTGCAACGGCTAGGCCCGCTAGGCGTTTATATCACAGCACATCATATATTGGGGGTGAGCCGAACCACAGGCGGTTTTATTTTTCCAAGATAATACTCAAACATAGCAAAGGCTGTTGTAAGTGTTCACACATAGACAATCCAAATTGTTGGTTGGGAAGGCTTGGTAAGGTTGTACCCACCCAGCTGGGAGTGGCTGGGAGGCACTAGGAGGTTGAGTCTTTGGAGCCATTCGTTGCTGAGTGCATTGCCAGTTTGCCAGGGTTTGCCTGGTGCTGACAGATCGTGCATGCCGAGGGTTTCGTTTGATCTTTGCATACTTGCTGCACTACCTGACTAATCCTGTCTGACTACCTGTGACGAACATGGGCGAATTGCGTGTTTGTCACGACTACCTGTGTACTTTTGCACGGCTCAAGAAGAGGAGTCAAGGTGTCAAGGGATGCAAGGTGAGGCGGTTCTGCCGGAAGATGGGCAGGTTCAATCCAAGCCTCTCAGCTGCGGAAGTAGTCCCCTGTTCCGTAGTGGATAACATCTCCACCACTCGGATGGCCCAGGTCCACCAATTCAGGCATACAGTGTCAGTTGGATGAGAAGATCACGACAATTCAGACACACACACAAACACAAACACTTGCACTTATTGTAGGTTGAGAGCAGATGTCACAATCCTGAAAAGGCTGCTTAAATTGACCCCCATCTAAAGGACATCTTGCGGATTGTGCCATTTGCTCTGAAACCACCATACAAAAGTAAAGAACTGGCAGGGGAACGACCTGTGCCCCCAAAAAGGAAAAACGCCTTGGTTCTGACAGCTCATGCTCTGGCGTAATGCCGGTTCGCCCTGCACTGCCCGTTCTCCCCAGGAATACAGCGGCCAGGATGCGGGCAAAGCGCTTTCGAAGATGACGGCGCCTCGATGTCGCTGCTTGCGCGATGGGCAGGTCGTGGAGTTGGAGGCGAAGACTCTAGTGCCGGGCGACGTGGTGCCGCTGACGACCGGCGACGTCATGTGGCCTGGCGTACAGCGCGCGGGCGGACCGGCGGACCATGTGTACGGCGTGTGGGAGATGTAATGGATGATGTATGCTTCCAATTAACTGTAACAGTCATTTAAAGGGTATATTAAAAGAGTAGCACCATGGAAGCACCATGAATCACCATTTTTCTCTAAGCTTTTGCGTTTTGTTGCAAAGGTGTTCTATTTTTTAACTTAGGGAGACCGTCCGCTGCAGACATTTGGTAGAATTGCATGGGGCAAAAGTTGTGCGCTTGCTCGTGCAACTTTTCGTGCTATTCTTGTGCTCATTTGTGCACATGCTCGTGCAACTTTTCGTGCTATTCTTCGTGCTCATTTGTGCAC